CCCCGTTTAAGAACACGGCTACCCTACTATTACTCCGACCCCCCATATTTCAAATATCTTATTATTTGTTTTATAGTGTACAATAAAACACAAAGTGTTTGCATCTCTTGAATATTTTCAGGAGAATTCATGGCCTCCCCGTTTAAGAACACGGCTACCCTAGTATTACTACGACCCCCCATATTTCAAATATCTTATTATTTGTTTTATAGTGTACAATAAAACACAAAGTGTTTGCATCTCTTGAATATTTTCAGGAGAATTCATGGCCTCCCCGTTTAAGAACACGGCTACCCTAGTATTACTACGACCCCCCATATTTCAAATACCTTGTTATTGTTATATAGTGTACAATAAAACAAAGTGTTTGTCTCTCTTGAGTATTTTAAGGGAACTTCATGGCCGCCCCGTTTAAGAACACGGCTACCCTACTATTACTCCGACCCCCCATATTTCAAATATCTTATTATTTGTTTTATAGTGTACAATAAAACACAAAGTGTTTGCATCTCTTGAATATTTTCAGGAGAATTCATGGCCTCCCCGTTTAAGAACACGGCTACCCTAGTATTACTACGACCCCCCATATTTCAAATACCTTGTTATTGTTATATAGTGTACAATAAAACAAAGTGTTTGTCTCTCTTGAGTATTTTAAGGGAACTTCATGGCCGCCCCGTTTAAGAACACGGCTACCCTACTATTACTCCGACCCCCCCTATTTCAAATATCTTATTATTTGTTATATAGTGTACAATAAAACACAAAGTGTTTGAATCTCGTGAATATTTTCAGGGGACTTCAAGGCACGTCGGGGTACCAGAGCTTTCCTGTCTAGGGTATACCTGGTTCCCCGTCTACTAGTACCTGGAGACGGCGTGAGGTTTTTGATCGGTTCGAGTCCGACATAATCACCCACTGGTGGTTGGTATCCGAGGGTAGTTGAGCACAGTAAAAATAAAAAACTGATTTTCAAGGCCTCCCCGTTTCCGATCACGGCTACCTTACTATTACTACGACCCCCTATATATCAAATACCATATTATTGTTTATAGTTTACAAATAAAACACATAACGTTTGAGTTACACGTTTATTACATCCACGTTACCATACAATGACCTACGTCTAGCTACCGAACTATTAAAATTTAACACAAATTAACAAAATGAGAATAAAAGCATCATAAAAAGAAAACAATACAAAAATTAGTGATTATTAAGATTTTTCTTTTGGTTTAAAGAGATTATAATAATATATATGTTTACTTAACCTACGAGTTACATGTATAAAAAACTACATTATGTTTTGTATATTATTATAAGCAAAATCTTGCGTTGTTCACAGCGTTTCAAGTAACAGAAATAAAAGTGGGGTCATAGGGGGTCATGACCCAAGTTGTATACGAAAGTACATAAAGACCTACTACAGGAGCAGTGGCTAGGGTCCCGTTTACAGATGAAACTCATAGCAGTTTGACGCATACTTGATATCCAGGTTCCAGTTAAACTTTTAAATTATTTTCTGGTATTTTCAGGGGAATTCACGACCTCCTATTTTCCCCATTCCCTATCACGACAACCCTACTGTTACTATAACCCCCCCAAACTTTCAAATAATTTAACATTTTATTAATTGTTTGTCTATAGATGCCAAAACTTTTAGTCTATATAAAATCGGAATTCAAAGCTGATTGTTAAACACTTAAGACGCTTTGAACAACACACTTATAACATAGATTATCTAAGTTTAACACGTATTTATATATTATATTAATAAGACACGCATTTAGCCCGACACGAACTCTCTGTTCATGTTTTTATACTCTTCTTACGAAAGATATTCTAAGTTATTCAGTATTTTTTAATGGAGTATATTTTTAATCAGAATTTTTTATAATCCATCAATATTATATACATTAGAGAATTGCAAAATACACTGTTCAATATACATGTTGAGTATATGTATATAATCTATAGTCTAAAGTGTATAATATACATTTACTCATTATAATATCTACTCTAATAGAATTGGTGTTCTGTTACCTTCAGTGGACGTACGCTTACGCGGGCTTATTATACTAACATTAAAAATACATTATATTTGCAAAACATTATGTCACATACACATAGTGCTTAAGCTGCTAATAATAAGGCACATTATAGTTACAATTGTCGGACAGTCCGACCGCTGGAATGTCCGACAATTTGTATAAAATAAGTCATAGTATAAATTAAATATAAATCTAATTATAATATAGTTTTCGTCAATAAGTTTTCACGCGACATCGCCCGAAGTCAGCATCACTACGCTAAAACATACAAAAAACATTTTTTGTGTTTTTTTTTTATGTTTAGTGTTAATGTTTTAAATTGCAAACTTTTTAGTAGACACTAAAAATGTCAGTCAGTTAATTTCGCTTAGTATTTTCCATTTTAGTGTACAACAATTTATAAATAACCATCTTAGCATATCTCTATAATAATTGCACCACGCGATCACTGTTATATTCGTTCTGTTAAAATATCAGACGGGATTAGGACGCACTGTATATAGCTGTATTTACGAAATTTCATACACATTAAATATTAGCTACTTTGATTACGTTTTTAGTATAGTGATGTATTTTTCATAAAAAAAAAAAATTAGCTGTCTGTGATTTTGGAGCGTGAATAATGCTCATAAAACGTTGTAAAAAATGATTGGAATCCATTTTTTAAACACATCAAAGGTTTTGGGAGTGTTTTCATGACACCTGTATTATATGTATATCTAATATATTAACAGAACAAATTATAATTATGTACAGTTAGTATAAATTTCTCAATAAATGTATATAATTTATAAAATAATTAAATATAACTTGTAAAATGGCACATTTGGGTATATTTTAATAGGCTGCACTTTCATTAATAAACTGCCATTGTGATCTCTAACAAGTATAAATATTTCAAATGTATATTTTTATATGAATTTTATTTGACATTTTATTATTAAAGAATTGCGGTTTAACTCACGTGTGTTGAGAGAGGGGGTCGAAGAAGTGTGTCATAGTGTGACAAGGGGTGGGACGAGTCCTAAGTTTTGTGACGTTTTTTGTTTTGTCGATTTGATGTTAATTTTCTTAAAAAGTAATTTAAATGGAAGTAACACTAATTTGGGAACTACTGTTTTAATTAAATAATTGACGTCACACCAGGGAGATGTAGTCTCACATATATGTGACATGGACGGCCCACCCCCGTCCGTCCCCGGTCAAAAAAACCATGAAAATCCTGTGATGTTTTTTATGAATGGTCTCTTGAATAAGGACCACAGTCGGTTCCGATACGTAGGATATCCCCGACATACACACACGAGTAAAACCGTTTATCCTTTACAAAAATGACTCCCATTTTTTTTCATTACATGTTTTTTTACTTTTCAATATGACGTGGTTCCGTAAAACTTATTATTCAACAATTTTAGCTGTTCGAGCCCAAAACCACTGAATATATAAATGGGGTAAAGGCACAAATGATCAAAAAACATCTAAACACTAATGGCACGTATGGTTTCCATTCAAGGCATCTAGTCTAAGGTCCCCGTAGGGGGTAGCACTTTGTGAGTTGTTGGACTAAACCAACAATCATTTAAAGAGATAGAGACTTCAGAGATTTCATGAAGGTAGTCTTTCTTAGCTGCTGGAAGTTCTGCCCATTTAATAAATGGGTGGTATCCTAGTGGATCAGAAGACGGACTTGTGTCTGAGTTATTTCGGGTTCGATATTACACAATAACCCACTTAAACCCAAGTGTTTAGGTTATTTGAAATGTGTAATATAATGAAATGAAAAATATATAATGGTTTTAAGAACTGATTTCAAATTAAATCAAAATTATTTATTTTGTACCAATAACAATTTTAATTCACAAAGACAGTCAGTCTAGAGGGGTAGCTGCCTGTTCCAATACGAAGACCCCACTGATAAGAACAGAGAAGAAACTAGAAGAACTCTCTTACTCTTATTAAAATATCTTGACTGAATATTAAAAAGAGACCCCCTCTTTTTAATATTCAGTCAAGATATTTTAATAAGAGTTGACAGAAATTTATATCTTTTTTAAATTCTATTCGTACACATGTCTTTTGTATGGTGTCTATGGTGTATTTTAATGTTTGTATCTCTGAAATATCTATCCACAATAAATATATACATATAAACAGTAAATAATATATTCTTGAAACTAGTAAGACACTGACGTACAATATTTTAATAAATAATAATTTTAGCACCTCAACGTTAACATATAATTCTTAGTTCAAAAACTTATTTATTTTTAAAGTATGTTTTGGTAATGATGTGTTTATTCTTTATTAAATAATTATTTATTTTCAAGTTATTTCATTTTATTTTATGTAGATATATGAATAAAATATTATATATATAACTGTTGTTTATTGAATATAATGTTAAATATCTAGTGAATATAAAAACATCACTACCAAAAACATCATTCATCAAAATAAATACGTTTATACTTAGTTTAAAAAGTTAATTTTTAAATATTTCTGAGATTTAATTCTATTTCATAAGCAACAATATTAATGTTTGTTATGATAGATATTTTGACTTTTTTTATTCCATAATTTTGTATGTATTGTCATGGAAACTGAAAATTTCGCGAAGATAATTTATTTCTGAAATTTAAAGTCAAAATATATATCAACGTATTTTTTCGAGAAATTATATTTTTTGGAAACATCAATATATGTGTAAATAAATTTATTTATCATCCAAACGTGCATATAAATTTTTTCAACACTCATTTTACCACGTGAAACTTTACCAGTATTTTAAACACATACCTATAACCAAATTGTTCAAAATGGCAAACTATTGTTCACCATTTTAAACAACATTCCTAAATATACTTCTACCCTACATTTCTACGCAAGATAAGTTTCACGCCGTGAGTAATAAATTTGGTAAAATTAACACACACAAATATTTTGGATACCTTAAAAGTTGCCAAATTTCTTGGTGATCGTAGAACTAGTCTCTGACTTATGAGAACTGGTCATAACCGATTTCCTTTCAACCGTCTCAGATGTGATGGTCTGCTTGGAGAACTTCTTGTCCATACTGTCAATTTCCTTGACCAGATCTGAAGGTTTCTTCACCTTGCTCACACTTGTAGAACTTTGGTAATCTGATGTTTGGAATTCCGAAGGCCTCATAAAAGATCGACTGGTGTCAGAACTCAGTTTCGACTCTAAAGTGTTGAACCTAGAGTCCAGAGTGCTGTATTTCGAATCGTTATCGAACGATTTCGATAATTCATCGATACCTTCGAGTCTGATGGGTTCGTATTTCGTGCTTGTGGTGGTCAAATTGACAGGGGACGAACTGTAAATCTTTGTGGTGGTAACTTTTTGGGTTCCATTTGGTATTTCCTTGACTTCTGTAGTGGTTTCCTCCATGTAATTCGGACCACCGTAAGGAGAAGAGATCCTGTCATAGTCTGGGGTTACAGCTTTTACTAATTCCGTTGACCGGTCGATTTTTGGCGTTGAATGGAATGGAGATTTGACTTCCTCCCGCAGTTCTGTTTTAACGAATTCTGTTTTTGGGTAAGACGAGTAAGATTCGTTGACGATTTTGTATTCAGAATGTTTTATACCCCCCGGGATTGCTTCGGTTGATTTCTGGTGTTCTGAGAAAGTCTGACCTACGCCGTCGAATGGTTTCTTCAGCGTCGAGTATATGGGTTCCGTTTTGTCATCGAATTTCAGTTCTCTTGCGTTGAATTTTGGGCTGAGGGGCGTTTTGGGTGGTTCGTATTTATATTCATATTGAGACTGTTGTGAGTCGGTCTTTATGTCCAGAGGGCGGGGAGTGTCGTACAAGCGAGTCTCGTAACTGTGAACGGTTAATTTGGTTATGTTATTGTTGGTTTAAATAGTTTTAAAACGTTAAGTTGGTTATATTGTTTGTGAGTACCGAAAAAAAGTTATACATATTCGATTACAACAGGATTTCAACTTATAGAAATAAACACAGAAGTCAGAATAAAGTCTGAAGACTCTAACATTTTTTATAACAATAATATTTATTTTAACTTTTGTACTCCACAAACATTATAAAAATTACCATCTCGGAAAACACCATAAAATAAACAGTAACCAATATATTTGTACCTTAAATATATTTTTAAAACAAAAAGTGGTGTTAATAGACCCAGAAAAGTCCCAAAGAATGTTATACACCAAAACCAACATGCCATGCTATAGAAAAGAATTTTGCGATAAAAAAAGAATAGTTCTAACATCTATTTATTAGTTCTTGCAACACCAAAGAGTTAGGTACAACATTAATTAGTAAACAAATGAGGTTTTAAGTGACTACACATTGTTTCTTTGACAAGTTAGTTTTAGATACATTCTTTCCTTACATAAATCTTTTTTTCGTTCTTTTGTTCATCTTTCTTTTATTGAAAAATAACTTCCCATACTTATATAGTTCTATAACAACACTTCGATAAAGATATTTTAAATTACAAAACTATGCAGGACAACAGCACTGCAAAAAGAAGGAAAACTTGACACAAACCCTATACCAATCTTTCTGGTCAGCGTGGTATAGTAGGCCAGAATCTCCTTTGTAAGGAAAGGCCTATGTCCAACAGTGGACTATTAAAGGGTGTTAGTGGAATTTCAAGACTCTAAATTTGATAACGGGTGAAACTTTGAGAATAAACTAGCAAAGGTTCTCCATATTGACACAATAAAGGCGATACTGAGTTTGTGTTTTGTTAGGCTTTCAGGATTTAACCATTATTTTACCATTGAGAAATGTATGAACATAGTCAAAGGTACCTACAGAAAAGGACACTTTCCTTTCCCAAAAATAGGGTAGATGTTAGTAGAGTGGTTTATGTTAACACACAAACCACTGTCATTTCATTAACACGCTATTGAGATGCCATTGACATGGCATGGCAATCGGTCAAAATATCGGTATTCTACTAACATACATTTACAGTGTCAATAGACTGTCGATGTAGTGACAATGGCTTATCAATAGTTTTATTAACAACATTGACATATCTGGCAAATTAAATATCATCATTTTCTTACAAATTTAAAATGAACCGTTTACTAAACTATTACAAAGACATCGACAACATTTGTATCAGTGACAAGTCAGGCCACTGGTCGTACAAAGTTAGTAGAATACGAAAAGTGCAACTATTCCGACGACAGTCCATCGACAGTCTATTGATACAATATCGCAATAGCAGAATTGACCCTGGTTTATCCTATTTTTGGGAAAGAAAAGACGGCGAAAGAACGCAGTTCTGATTCTCCTTCCCCCAACCATTGGCAATATCAGAGTAACACCGTGGTGTTTTTAGCCGAGAGACTAACAGACCCATTCGTCCCCCTCAATGGGCAAAAGACATTCATGAGGATGTTCCACACCGTTAACAAAAAAGAGGTTTAAAATAAATTATTTCGCCTTAATCCACTTTTTTATTTTCTCTTGTAACTAGAGTATATTGGAAAACTAACTAACTATTGTTCTATGAGAAAACTTTTGTATTCTTTGCAGACATTCATTCTTCCTCTTTCTCTCTTCCTGAATAAAATTTGTTTTATTTTTCTTGACTATTCTTTTGCCAATCCTGCTAAGATGCCTGGGGCATCGTATCAAAATCCCATATTTTAGCACAGTATGGATATGCAGTTGTAATGGTTATTACAGCACATCACCCATGAAAGTTATATATTTTTTTCTAAAACAATTATTATGACAATAATTCACTCAAAAAAAATTGGACTTTAAAGGGAAAATATTTTAGCAAAATTTACAGATACTTACTTTTTTTTTTGCAAACTTAAGCGATTTTAACTCCCTCTTTTTACAACGATTTCACCTCTGAAACCACATTTAATAACACTATATCTCCCCGTGGCACTATAACCCAAAATGGCATGATGTACCTCCGAATGAAAAACAACACTAACCCTAACCTTACTTAAAATAAACAAACACTCACTCACTGGGCCTCTTTTAGCAGCGAGGCCCTCCTGGGCGGAGGTAACGGCGCCTCCCTCTTGTACGAAATCCTTTCAGTGCTCTCACCGATTAGATGAGCGGTCCTCACCTCCGGGAGGTTCAGAGACTTCACTACAACCTCTTCAACGCTTGTCCTTAATAGCGCATGCGGTTACGTAGAGAAATTTATTTATTAGTTTTGTTATGTACGTGTTATTTTAAAGTTATTGCTTCAAGTTAGGTACGTATTGGGAATATGGCCGGTGGCGAGTTTGATCCTTTCATATAAATTTTATTATTAAGGGATAACAATTAGAAACTGTAGACAGCGATGCCAAACCTGTGTGGCATCTAACAGCTTTGTGGCAGAACGCCTTATCACGTAGACGTCAAATGGGAGAGATGTTACCTTAACTCATTTAAAAAGGGTTATGAAAAAAATACATAATAATGTATCCGTATTAAAAAATATTTTGTATATCGATGGTCCGACAAAATTAAGTAATTGTAGAAAATGGTCGATAGAAAGTAACAATTCTAGTAAACACTGCCCAAGGTATGCACCAAGCCACCATATTCCCAATAAGTTTAAGCAATATTAAATACTTTCTACTGAAATTTAGTATTACATTTTAGTAGAAAAAAAACACTTAATTTAAAAATAGTAAACACATTTTAAATAAAAATCATTGAATAACTTTAAAATAACTACAAAACAGCAATTACTAGCGCATGCCTAGTTAGTGACGTGGTACACAAGAGTATTTAGTACAAAGGAGTATGTTCTACACATCACACAAGAGTGTGCAGTACAAGGTACATACGAGTATACTGCAGAACGATGTTCAAACTTACAAAGCTGAAATGGGGATATAAAATCGCGTAATACATATATACATAATAGTGTTTTTACTTGACTTGGATGGGTGACCAGGTGATGTGAACTATGATGATGATGACGCATGATACTTCGCAGAAATTTAATAGATGACATGACAATTTAGATAATTAATTTTATATATTTGTACTACGTAACTCAATTTTAAAAGTAATTTCGACCTATTTCTAATTGTCGCATCGAGATTAAATTCTTTTTTTTATGGTACAAGGGGGCAAACGAGCATACGGGTCACCTGATGGTAAGCAATTAAAGCCGCCCATGGACACCTGCAACTCAAAAGTCACAAGTGCGTTGCTGCTGGAGATTTGGGCTGCGGTAACCTCACTCAGTCAGTGAAAGGCAGCGAAAGAATTGCTTAACACCGGTTTTCTGTGAGGCCGTGGTATCACTCCGGTCGAGCCGGCCCATTCGTGCCGAAGCATGGCTCTCCCGCGGTAAGATACATATACATGACATTTAGTTTGTTTGATAATACTATAATTAAGTATCTTGAAGCTGATCTCATGATGGAGCCAGATAATGGATACTTGTATTTTTTGTTGGATACTTGAAACCGCATCATTTTAGTTTTTAAAAAAAACTGTTATCGTAATTTAATTTAACGTCTACTGCCATCTACCGGTAACCTTAGGAACTATGACATATAGTACACAATGAGTTCCGGATTGGGTCGTAAGAAGCTATAACTATAAGTGATAAAATGTGTTTTATATATCCATTAGTGTAAATGCCTTTGTGGTGGGGTTTCCCACTATACCTACCCACTATTACTACAACACTTTATCCATACTAATATTATAAATGTGTTTGTCTGTTATCTCTTCACGCTTGAAGCGATTTAAATGAAATTTGGTATATAGATAATCCGAATACCGAAAAACGACATGGGTAGTTTTTTATCCCAGAGATCATCCTTTAAAAGGGTGAAAAGGGGAGTGGAAGTTTGTATGGGCATACAAGAACAGCTAAACCGACTTAGATGACATTTGGTATGGAGATACTTTGATTGTTGAGGAAAAATAAATGCTACTTTTTACCTCGGTAACTGACATTTAGCTTTGTTTTAGCGTGGTATAGTAGGCCAAAACCTCCTTTCTAAAGAGAGGCTTATGTCCAGCAGTGGACTATTAAAGGCTGTTGATGATGATGATAATGAACTGACATTTACGAGAGCGGTGCGGAGCGATTTAATCAATACACTGTCGTTCTAATTCGAATAACGTCTATATCTATCAATGTTTTTGTCATATCTAAAGTACAAAGAATAAACGCCCCCCTCAATTATCCTCAAATCTATTCAAAAATCATAAAGTATTATATAACAAACTACACGTCAAGTAAAAACACTCGATAATAACAAGTAAATATATATAAAAAAATGTTTTGACAATCTGTAAGCTCACAAAACACTGTATGCTTTGTTTTATGCTGCTGATCATTCTCGTCACAAATATTTACACATATGTATGTATATATATATATATATAATGTATTGATGTACGCGTTCGTTTAAACTTACGTTTTGTTCATCGTTCTGTCTTTTGTAGAAAGTCTGCGAAATTAAATAGTGGTCAGTATACCTTCTAGGCAAGGCCAGTAAACTCACAGATCAGTTCCACTATATACTTATATTGTGAAAGTCCGTGTGGTAACAGATTAAGAATATGGAATGTCACCTATTCATCCCGTGGGTGTCGTAAGAGCCGACTAAGGGAGCAAACTACGCAGGACAACAGCACTGCATAGAGAAGGAAAACTTGAAACAAACCGCATACCAACCCGTCTGACCAGCGTGGTATAGTAGGCCACAACCTCCTTTCTAAGGACAGGCCTATGTCCAGCAGTGGACTGTTATAGGTTGTTGATGATGAAAAGGAAATATTAGTTAGTTTGTGGTCAATGGTTTCTAATGACTTTAAATGGAAGTAAAGTTGGGAATATTTTCTTGGATAAATGAAGGAAGATGCGGTTCTTTTTTTGTGGTATAAAGAGGAAATGAACAGACAGGTCACCTGAGGGTAAATGAGAGGCATCACAAGTGTAAAAGGAGAGGGAGAGGATTGGGTCGTTTAATTTAAAAAAAGTATGTCGGTTAGGATGTCTGTTGTGAAGTTGGTTGCATATGACAATAGGTGACTATGTTCAGGTTATATAAAGAAAAGAAGAGGCAAGAAGAAACTTCTAGGAAACTCTGCTAACCTTAACCCCCATTTATTTTTAAATATTAGGTATTTAATGGGAATGATCTGCGAGGAAGCTGGATAGATAAGCTAAGCCTAGATATAAAGCTAGTCCAGTCTGTGGTGAAGGAGCGACAGTAAGTGTTTATATAAACCATTATTACTATGGTACTAAGAAATACAATAACAAGGAAAAAGGAAAAACGTATGTACATATCAAATATTGTGTTTGTCTTAAAACTAAGTTTAGTTTAAATAATAAATACACAAGGACTTGATGATTTGACTACTACAATCCGCAACAATACAAACCGTTCCGTATTCAAAAAGAAAGTACACAACCTTCTTCGTAATGAGACGGCAGAATCCTCGAATCGAGAGTGCAGCAACCAACTTTCCTTAACTCATGGTGTACGAACATAGTGAGAATATATGTCCGTATGTGTGTAGATACATATATATGTATAGTGTGTGTATGTGTGTATATATATATATATATGTATGTGTATGTATGTGTATATTTATGTGTGCTTGTGTATAAAATTACGTGTGTTGTGTTGTGTGGTGTATACATATCTTAGTGATTAGTGTTATAACCTATATGCGCCTACCACTCACGATTTCTACACTACCTAAAGATTGACTGGGAGAGAATGCCTTGGGCATTAAGTCCGCCGATGTACAAATGTGGATAAAGTTATAAATAAATAAATAACTTATAAAATAGTTTTAGAATTAGAATTGTATATAATAAACTACACATTCCACAAATCGCTGTCTGATCTTAAATTATACAGAAAGCTCTGTATAATATGTACTATGGTAACCAGAAGGCCAATTCTCGTAATAAAAGTTCGGTCACAATTCAGTTCCGATCAACGATATCACAACTGTCAAAGGTATTTTCGTAGTAAAGTATTACTAAGGCTAGTAGATTACCGATTCAACTTTCGGTTACAATCTATACTAATATTATAAAGCTGAAGAGTTTGTTTGTTTGAACGCGCTAATCTCAGGAACAACTGGTCCGATTTGAAAAATTATTTCAGTGTTAAATAGCCCATTTATAGAGGAAGGCTATAGGCTATATATCATCACGCTAAGACCAATAGGAGCGGAGCACCAATGAAGAATGTTTCAAAAACGGAGAAAATTTATTACTATTGAGAGACGCAGACGAAGTTGCGCGGGTCAGCTAGTATGATATAATCACATTACAGTCAACGTTGTACGTTTAATACTTTACTACGAAAATACCTTTTATCTGTAATTAATTATCTGTAATACCTATATAAGTATGTTTATCAGCAGTCTCAAGGCCAATTCTCTTAATAAAAGTTCGGTTTCAATTCAGTCTGAATTGAAACCAAACTTTAATAAAATATCTATATTCTCTTAATAAAAGTTCGGTTTCAATTCAGTCTGAATTGAAACCGAACTTTAATAAAATATCTATATTCTCTTAATAAAAGTTTGGTTTCAATTCAGACTGAATTGAAATCGAACTTTTATTAAGAGAATTGGCCTTGAGACTGCTGATAAACATACTTATATAGGTATTACAGATAAATTACATCCAAACACAGAAGGATTGATTGTGCTTATTACACAATGTTTGTCCTGGGTAGTAATAGAAACCACAATCTGTAACTTACACTGTCGCGACTCAAACAAAAAAAGATAAGTATTAGAAATATCTTGTTTCCTTTGTAATAAAAACCGATTAATTAATGAAGTCAAATCAACAAGGATTGTGAATTCATATTTAACAGAAAGAGTCAATTTACTTGCTATTGACAATGTTTTACAATCAAAGGTCATAGTATATCGTGGCTATTACGTTTTATGTTTTAATGCATATTTTTTGGGGTATATTGTGGGTGAGTAAATTTGTCGACAGCACAGGACAATAATAATAACTAGACTTGCAACGAATAGTATATTCGGCAGTATACCGAATATTCGGCGAGGCCCCTGACCGAATAGCCGAATATTAGGCAAAAGTATTCGGCTGGATTTTAGCGCCAAAAACTTGTATAGACGTGAATTAAATTATGTACCTGTTTTATGTACCAATGACTAATTAATAAATGATTATAAAAGAAATAAGAACCTTACCCTTCTAAATTTTGATTACCACAATAATTCAAATACATAAAATCCTCCATTTTTCCAATTCAGAAAATGATTATGTACCTGTGTTATGCGCCAATGACTACTTAAATGATTATCACAGAAATGAAAATATGAATATATACGTAATCAATCGATTTTAATTTTTCATTTTACCAATTATTTCTCAATGACAAAATATATTATTTAAGTATTCGGTATTCGGCCGAATATAATAAAAGCAGCCGAATAGGCCGAATACCGAATAGTAACCGAATATTCGTTGCAAGTCTAATAATAACTTAATCTCACACACGGCCGTCTGAACTCAAACTAGGCAGAGCCTGTACTGTGGTAACCAGACCGCTGATAAACATACTTTTATATTTCTAAATAATAATAATAATTGTTGTAATTTGTATTAGTAAATAGTATTCTCTATATCTTTATAATGTTATACGTGGCGCCATCTATTGTCAAAATAAGTAAGTGTCGTAAAAGAAAAAATATCTGTCATGGCCTCTCTTATTCTTTTTGTAATGCGTACAACATGTAAAACTCGTTTTAATTTTTATTTAATTAACATTTAATAAAGTGATGTTTTACAACAAAGTGTCTTATTAATGAAGAGTCCATCATTCCAACGATAATATTTCAGACATCTGACACAACGCCATCTAGTTTCAAACTAAGCAGAGCTTGCACTATGAAAGCTAGATTGACTGATATAATACTTTTATAGTTATTTTTTTGTAAATACATACATATTATACACAGAAAACACTCAAACTCCAAAACAAATATTTGCTGATTATACAAACATTTGGTTTGTTCTGGGAATCGAACCCGAGACCTCAGTACAGCAGTCGCATACGTTACCACTGCACCACCGACCGATCATAGATTTTATAGATAAATTACACTCAGGCAGAACTGTGGTGTGTCCCACATACAAAGAAACGGAAACATACTCTAGTGAGTAACTCTTGAATGAGAACTGCATCGCGATATGAAGAATTCTTTCGCCGATTAGCATCTATACAACTTCCTAACATCAACCGTTGGGCCGCGGCCCACCAGGCACCTCGCCTGGTCGGAGGATCCTCCTTTTGTGTTGGAGGGACATGACACCCGTTCCCCCTCTCCTGGGTGGGAACTGGACCCACGACCTCTGGTATAGCAGTCGGAATAGCGTGACCGTGGTTTGATATCTTCATAGTCAATAGCAAGTCAATTCCCTCCCACCATAGTACGCAACTAACCTTGTGTGTCCATCCGTGTATGCTTGTATATGTGTGTTAAACTTATAAACTATATATATATATAATATACAATGGTAGGCACAGTTCATAAGTGTAGAAGGCACTTAATATTTTAATTTGCTTTTTTATTAATATATAATTCATCTTGTTTTAAAATGTCCGATGGCAGCGTGGAAAGAAGCAGAAATTGTTGTGTTAGTTTATTGGGAACTATGAATATTGAAAATGTTTTGTGAATAAATAAATGTTATGAAGTAATAGGTAAACTAGGAGGGTTGGGTCTTCATTGGTTTTTAGATCTCAACATGACAATTTTTTTATGAAACAGGTGGCAAAACGGGTAAAACGCGGATCAACTAATGGGGAGGGACCACCGAGGACCCTGAGGAAAACGAGGGTCAACTCATGGTGAGTTACAGGTGTCCACAGACAGCTGTAACTCTAAGATTCACCAATGTGTTGCCACCTTCTTTTGAGCTAGTCCCCAAAATCAGGAGAAGTGGGGATGAGGTTAGGCTCCGATAACTTTACTCACGCTGGTTTTTAAAGCATGGCCCTCCCACGATAAAAATCTATTGTAAATATGAGAACTAAAAACCAATGAAAAAAGCTTATAAGTGGGCCATATTTAAATAAGTGGGCCTTACCGAGTTGTGAACCCTTCGTAGTTTTGTTTAGGGTCTTCCTGAGGTCTGAAACTGGAGAACGTTGGCGACTGCACGGTATACTGCTTCTCGTCTCGGTTGTACGTGTTCGAAGACTGGTTGTAAGCCGTCGATTGGTTCTGGTTGTACGTAGACGTTTGGTTGTTGACGGGGCTCTTTGGTGTGCTGTACCCGTATCTATTAACAATTATATATACATTTATATTCATGCGTATATCGTAGAAAAGGTAAGCAGAGAAGCATTTAACACCCACAATATATTAACAATTTTATATATTTATAGTCATGCCCGTGTCGTGTCTGTGTGGTGACGGATTAAGAATACAGAGTGTCACCACCTCTATTCATCTCGTGGGTGTCGTAAAAGGCGACAAGGGAGGAAACTATGCCGGACAACAGCACTGCAGAGAGAAGGAAAACTTGTCAGAAACCCTAGACCAACCCGTCTGGCCAGCGTGGTATAGTAGACCAAAACCTCCTTTCTAAGGAGAGGCCTATGTCCAGCAGTGGACTAGTAAAGGCTGTTGATGATAGTCATGCTTATATAGCAGAAAAGGTAAGCAGAGAAGTATTCAACGCCCATATTTTTTTTATTCCTAATTTTTTAAATTCACTGTTTTCCTGTACAAATATACTTTAATAGCTGATCAATTTCGTCTGCGCCTTTCAAAGGGAATAAATTTAACCCATTTTTGTAACATTTTGCATTATAACTCGACTCCTGTTGGTCGTAGAGTTATATTATACCTTTAGACTTCCTTGTTAATAGGCCTACTCAACACTAAAATCATTTTTCAATTGGAACTAGTAGTTCTCGAGATTAGAGCGTTCAACCAAACAAACAAAATCTTCAGCTGTTTATTGTTAGTATAGATTGCTAGCTGACTATAATTTCAGTCCCACTTACGTTCCTTTTTTTGGCAACGTTGGCTTTATATATCTAGATAAACATACTTATATATTTCTAAATACATACATATTATAGATAAATTACAACCAGGCATAGGACAAATGATATGAATGATGAAAACTAAAGTGAAGCAGTATTTTGCTGGCAGAATCAACGTATGGGTTCTAGTGTATGATAGGTTTATGTACGCGTATTTGATATTACAACTTCTATTAAACTTTAACCATAATACACCTACTTCCTGTTCTCTCTGCATCACCCAAAGGTTGACTGGTAGAGAATGCCTTAGGCATTAAGTGTGCCAATGCAGCCAAAGTGCATGATGTATAAATAAATAAATAAATGATCGTACTCATTACACAATATTTGTCCAGAATGGGAACCGAACCCACGACCTCTGGCTTAGCAGACAGGATTTCTAACCACTAATCCACTATAAGTTGAATGTGTATGTTTATTACTTACCCAGGTGACATAGGGCTCTTAGGTGGTCCAGCTTGGACAGAGTGTGTGGGGTGCGCAGGTGTACCATGGATGGATTGGTTCAGCTGGCTGATGTGCGACGTGATGGTGGTATTCTGGGTGGTGTTGTGGGTATTGTGGGGCGAGTACGTGCTGTTTGGAGAGTACGTAGTGTTCGCGAAGCTAGAGTTCGGTGTCTTGAATCTGGAATGGGAAACAATTAGTTAATATTTTTGTTCTTAAGTTTCTTTGTAGTTTTTAATTAAATTGGACCTCTTACCTGTGATGTCCGCTAGCATCACTCGCGTACCCCAGCTGCACATCAGTGTCCGTCTCCTCTCCAGAAGTTTCTCCTGCTCGGATCTTGTATTTAGCTTGGCGGATAGCTGTGAGACGGCCTCTGGCTTCTTCCAACTCTTTCTCTATGCGCAGTACTTCAGACCTGTGACAGAGATATGATTATGTAGGGACAGGCCCTGGGTACATTAGGATAATGGTGTTTCTACGACCTTGACTGAGCTCTTTTTTGGTAAAATAAATACAGAAAGTGTGTAGACAGTCAATTTCACTGGATTTTTTAAAATAAATACGTGTTTCGTTGATAGATATTGATTATCTAAATATAATATATAATTGATTGCACAGATGGCGTAGTGGTTTAAGCCACGTCGCCACGCCGCTTTCCACTGCGCCGAGAGTTGTAGTTCAAACCCCACATGGGACGACACTTTGTGTGATCCACAAATTGTTGTTCTGAGTCTGGGTGTTCTTTGTGTTTCATGTATGTTTGTAAATTCCCCCGCGACACAGAAATGTATTCCTAATGCAGGAGTTATCTTTAAAAAAAAAACAGCTGGCCGCCTCGTGCAAAATGTAATGCAGGAAGTGTAAAATAAAAAATATATATTTGTGTATACAAATCAGTCTCAAGTAATTTAAATTATTAATCTATTAGAATATTTAACGTCTTTGTATCTAGACCATCATAGTCGAACACAGGTCACACACATTTTCTTTTTTAACGTGTGGAAGCCCCCTCGGGCCGTCAGCCAACTGGGTTTTGCGGGGCAAATCCCGGTGGGGTGTGGGAATCGCACCGACTAAAAGCACACGGTGTGCCACTCCGCTCCTGAGATAGAAGGGGCCCGGGATCAGCTGATATTAAGATATCCGGGCCCATCTTAACAGGCTATACAACTAGCTCAGGCCGATTGCAAACGAATTTGCAATATTTTGATTTTACCTTTTTCTATTAACTCTTATACGTTTTGGAATAGTCATATACTAGTTTTATGTTAGCTAGTTATGTAAAGTTAGTTAAGTAACTAACTTTACATAAGAATCTAATGACAATAATATGTAAATCATATACAAAATGTAATCGAGGCCTTCTACTGCAAATAATTTTTATTTTTTATAAATATATATAAATATTTCAGACATCTGACACACAACGCCATCTAGTTTCAAACTAAGCAGAGCTTGTACTTAGAAAGCTAGATTGACTGATAAAATACTTATGTACTTTTTTTTTTAATACATACATATTATACATAGAAAACAGCCAAAAGTCCTTCACAACTATTAGCAGAGGATAGAAAGATAGTGTGTGAGGGGAGAGTACCTGGCGTCGATCTCCTGCGCGATGCCGCCCACCATGCGGCGGTTGAGCACGAGGCTCCGCTCCTCCTCGGTCTGGATGGCGTCGCGCGCGGCCCGCACCAGGTTGTCCGTCGAGCGGATCACCTCCGCGCCCGCCGCCTGCAGCCGCCGGGTCGACTCCGACGACGGGTCCGCCTTCACCTGCAAGGTCGGTATGGTCGTAGACACCGGCGCAAAAGTCTCTAGAGAATTACCTGACGACGGTTTCCTGCGAGACTGTAGCGTCACTCCGGTCGAGGCGGCCCGTTTGTAACGAAGCATGCCTCACCCCGATGACATACGTATATATAAATTTTCAATTCATAACTTCTTATGAGAGGGTAAACCGCTTTGTTACGTAACGCGTTACGGCGCCGGTCTGTCTAGCTTCCCTTTCTCTCACGCATACGGCAACGGTAGACAGGCTCCTCCTCTCTCACTCTAACCCACAGCCCTAGCCGTATTTTGGACAGACGCTTTACGTAAAATTTAATTAATAAATAACCTAAACTTTTCTCAAGTTAAACAATTTCAATATTAAATAGTTCAACTTAGATTAGTTTAAGTTCTCATTCTTTTCTAACTTTTAATTAAAAAACCAAACTAACCTTGCAAGCGACCAGCAGCTGCGCAGTAGACGAAGCGACTTGCCTAGCGCTGGAGATGAGCCTCTCCTCGGAGCCAGCGCCCTGCACGAGCGCGTTGGCCGCCTCCACGAGGGAGTGTGCCGCAGCGGCCACGAGGCGGGCCGCGCTGATCAGACCCTCGGACCATTGACCGTCGTCCGATGAGGAAGTAGGACGGCGAGCTACTTTACCCTGCAGATAAATTTTATAGTTAAAATTTTCTGTTTTCATTTGGGTACATAAATATTGTTCTATCTACACATCCTCAGATTTTTTTTTTTTTTTTTTTTTAATATGTTTACTCAATATTTGACTATAATCATCATCATCATCAACAGCCTTTAATAGTCCACTGCTGGACATAGGCCTCTCCTTAGAAAGGAGGTTTTGGCCTACTATACCACGCTGGCCAGACGGGTTGGTATAGGGTTTGCTTCAAGTTTTCCTTCTCTTTGCAGTGCTGTTGTACTGCGAAGTTTACTCCCTTAGTCGGCTCTTACGACACCCACGGGATGAATTGGGGTAGTGACCTTCCGTATTCTTAATCCGTCACTACACGGACATCTATTGGGGTATATTGTGAATGCATTTATAAGTCTTCTTATAACAACTGTATGTCACTTTTAAAAGGTTGTATTTGTATATTGTTAACTAGATTATATAATAATAAATAATATGGAAAGCCCTTTAAAAAATAATAATTATAAATCATCAAAAAATAATTTTGTTACAAAAAAAAAACTAAAAAATCTCGTTAATTACCTGGTCAATAAGTTCCCTCTGCGCAGCAGATGCTGCCCGTACCAGCGCCGAAGTGGCCGTGATGATGGACTTGGCCGCTTCCAGGATCATCTCGTCGAAGTTCAGGCTCTCATCTGCCTCCTACAGCACAAATGTATAACTTTCCATAAACATGACAACAGGAAATGATCTGTCTGACACATTTAATGAATACAAAATACACACATCACATCACATCAACAGCCTTTAATATTCCACTGCTGGACATAGGCCTCTCCTCAGAAAGGAGGTTTTGGCCTACTATACCACGCTGGCCAGACGGGTTGGTTTAGGGTTTGTGTCAAGTTTTCCTTCTTTTTGCAGTGCTGGTGTCCTGCGTTGTTACAATTTACTAAAGTTAGAAGATATAATAAAAAATACTAATTTAACAAACCTCACACACGGCCGTCTGATCCCAAACTAGATAAGCCTGTACTGTGGTAACCAGACTGCTGACAAATATCCTAATGCTAGCTTTTGGCGCTCAAGAATCAAACTATGTCTATAACAAATTTCATCTAAATTATTGATTCCCCACTCGAACTTCCACTTTCTTAAAGGACAAAATCTTATGTCCTTTCCCGGGACTCGAACTATCTCTATGCCAAATTTCATCCAAATCAATTCAGCAGTTTAAGCGTGAAGAGTTAACAGACAGACAGACACACTTTTTGCATTTATTATATTAGTATGGATATTTGTAATCATCAACAGGGTTTAATAGTCCAATAGTGCTGGACATAGGTCTCTCCTTAGAAAGGAGGTTTTGGTCTACTATACCACGCTGACCAGACAGGTTTTGGTGTAAGGTTTGTTTCAAGTCTTCCTCTTCTAAATACATATTTATTATAAATAAATTACACTCAGACACAAAACATATAAAATAGAACATCACACAATTATTTGTCCTGGGTGGGCATCGAACCTACGACCTCTGGTTTAGTAATCAGGGTCACTAACAGCCCCTTTTATTACTAGTATCATACATATTTCTAAATACATACATATTTTCAATCAATTATTCCTAGAGATAAAAAAATGGTCGTGTTCATCCACAGTAGGAATCGAACCCATCACTGGCATCGCATTAGGATCACTACTACACGTCATAGTTACATTTCTAATTAAATTCAAATCATCGATATCTTCAATAGTCTCTGCTTTTCTCCGGTCGACTCCATGCTCGATGACAGCGCCGAGGTCGATGTGGAATATGTTTGATTCTCGGGTGATACAAAACAGAACAACCAAGAATATCAAACATATCTCACCGACACACGACATCTTCTCATTCTTCTTTCTTCTCCATCTTTCTTCTAGAACGGGAACTAGGACATACACTTATCCTATATTCTTACTATCTCTTACCGTTGTGAATGAAATTGCTACGTACCTGCACTTTAACACTCTTCCTAGGTCTGAGAGAGTCGAGTTTCTTGGCAGCGGCGTCGATTGACGCAGCAGCACCTAGGAGTTCATTCTCAGCTATCACCGTAGGATCGTCAGGGTCTACCCAATCGGAACCTAATACCAAAAAAGGTTGATTTTATAAAACGATGAACAGCCCAGCGGTTCTAGTGACCTGCCTGGGATGGTTAAGTCATAAGAAGAATTACTAAGGAATGGATATTAACACAGCTGGCAGGATTCTTCCACAACTCACCTTTCAGCAGTTCCGCAGTAGCAATTATATCTGCCACAGCATGCGCGACTCTTCTAGATAGTTCAGGGAAGTGTTGTCTCGCGGCCACGTCTCCATTGCACGCTGATAGTACGCCATTGAGGAGGGCGCGGTAAGCTTCAGCTGCCGCACGACCTGACTCTAACGTGCGGGACTGGAGGTCTGAAGTCTCAGCTCCATGAGCTGCACCCTGGTTTAAAAGATTAATTTGTATGATATCTAGAATTACTTGGTCTCCTTTAAGCCTTTCTAATAGAAGAACACGACATACCTTGCAAGCTACAAGAAGGTCAACAACGGTCTTCCGTCCAAGGTTAGCAGCGGCGGTCAGCTGGTCTTGCTTGTTGGCGTTACCGGCGGCAACTGCCCGCGCCGTAGCAACAGTCATCTGGCGCGTGCAACGTATCAGTTCTTCAGGAGTTGCTAAAGATTTTGGTGGTGTGGGAGACATCAGCACCTGCAGCGAAAACATACCTTTTTTATATCTATTTTGTCATTCATTCATACCTACACGCTTTCAGTCATTTATTCACCCATTCATTTACACATTCGCTCAATCATTCATTTCATACTTAAGACATTCATTAAATTTTTTAGTTATTCTTTTTTTCTTGGTGTAGAACTATTACGGTCTCAGAATAATGTACAGACTAGTACCTGAAGTACTAGTGACAGACAGTACAAGTACCAAAACCAGCCTACTAGCTGTTTTCATGTACGCCAAAATACACATGTAGGACTGCGCGGATGGTGTAGTGATTTAAGCGGGTGTCACGCCGGTTCCTGCTACGCCGAGTGTTGTGGATTCGTTCCCCACATGGGACGACACTTTGTGTGATCCACAAATTGTTGTTCGGGATATGAATCAGCGCGACACATGATATGTTCCTAACGCGGGCGTTGCCTTTCCAAAGGAAAAAGAAACAAACTCAAGTCTTTAATTGGGAAGAGACAAGAGCCTACCACTTGCCTTCCATACCTTGAAGCTTCTGCTTCTGTCATTAATCCTTTCCAAAAAGCCTGATCAAAGCACATTAATTCAAGGAACCCAAACCACAAAAGCATATTCTCGACAAAAAAATACGTACCTCAATCTCCTGAGATATAGCTTCAATGGTAGATTCCAAGGCTCTGGTTCCTCTCGTGTGCTCATCCTCAACAGCCTTGACAGTCTTAAGCAGTGACGTCACGTTTGTGACCATCAGCTGTGGGAGCAAAATTATAATCATTAGTGACGTCAAATTAGAATTACGACTGACTGATCAACTTTTTAAGGTCCACAGAAGGGATAAGTCTTAATTTTGACTTAATTCTTGATAATCCACTAAAGCTTGGTTTTTTACCCAATTTGAATCTTATTTCTTACTTTTAAGGTTCAATTTACATCATATATAGTCGACAACATAATGGGTTGGCTATAGTCAATGTAATATCGGCAATAATGATAAGTTATAAAGTTCAAATTGCCTAAGAAGAGATGTCGGTAATTATAAAAGTATTTTTGAAAGAAAGTTCGACCTAAAAAGTTGTTCAGTACAAATTATTATTATTATTAATATATAACAAAAGACTATTGTTAAGATATAATCTAAACAAAATTGAACAAAAGCTTTGGGTTACCAACTAGTAAGTTTCAATGAGAGCCTTTGATGCGAACTTGTGAAAGTCTACGCTGATTACGTACAACCGTTTAATATTTTTTTAAGGAATAGGAATCTTTTTTTTATGGAATAGGGAGAAAACGGGCAGACGGGTCACCTGATGAAGTGATTTCCGACGCCCATGGACTGTTGCAACTAAAGAGACACAATTGTGAGTGTCGCCCCCTCCCTAGTCTTTGATAGTCTGTGAGGTTGTGGCAACACTCGACCCGGCCCATATGCGTGGAAGCATGGCCATTAAAAATATTATAATTTATGGTTATGGGTAATAGGCGTAGACTTAAAGTGCCATGCTGTTGAAACCCATAAGCTTTCAATAAACACCATAAAGTATAATAATATCAGCAACTATCTGACGAGCAGCGAGAATCAACACTTATAATATACTGGTTTTATTACTGTTAAGGATGTATTCTTATAAGTTTTTTTGCTGATTTGCCTATTAATTTATTTGTATCCATTTGTTCACTATCACTAAACTTATACTGGTCTAAAAATACAACAAAACATTCAAAATATAAATATATATATAAATATATATCTAGTTAATATTATAATATACAGATATCATCATCAACAGCCTTTAATAGTCCACTACTGGACATAAGCCTCTCCTTAGAAAGGAGGTTTTGGTCTACTATACCACGCTGGCCAGACGGGTTGGTAAAGGGTTTGTTTCTCGGGCTTTTTTCTGTTGTCCTGTGTAGTTTACTTCCTTCGTCGGCTCTTACGACACCCACGGGATGGATAGGAGTGGTGACACTCCGTATTCTTAATCCGTCACCACACGAACAAAACGGACTAAAATTATAATTGTCAAAATGTAAGCGTTTAATAGAATATACCATTTCAGATCATTTCTAAAAATCAGATGTTTTTAGGTTAAATCAGCAAAATTCAGAATGTGTCCTAATCCTGGCAACAATTCATTGAATTAAGAGAAAAGGAGTATCAAAAGAACGGGTTCAAATTTAGCTTACAAAATCAAAAATTAAAGAAAGAGAATAAAAAAATGCTCATCAAACAGTTTCAGGTGGTAAAATAAATAAAATTCATATAAATAAATATATATATAGTTTGTATCGTCAATATTGGACCTTGACTAAAGCCGGTGGCACAATGAAAGCTACTGGTTTCCGTTAAGCGAAGCCTTGTCTTGATTGCCTATGGGATGATGATGACCAATTATAGAACCTTGATAGACCTTTCGATGGTGAACAGGTGATAAAAGCATTTGTGATGAAGTTATGATTTCCGAAAATCAACTGTGAGTGATGAACTGCTTGAGAACTGACTGACTGACATTTAACCAGAGTATATGGAGTAGACACACACTTCTAAGAGGGCATCCATTAATTAAGTTTAGGAAAGTTTTTTAATACATCTCACACTCGGCCGTCTGATCCCAAACTAGGCAGAGCCCGTACTATGGTAACTAAACTGCTGATAAGAATACTTATATATTTCTAAATACATTTCCATCCAGACACAGAACGAATAATTGTGTTCATCACACAATTACTTGTCCTGGGTGGGAATCGAACCCACGACCTCCGGCATAGCAGTTAGGATCACTAACCCCTCGCCCGCAGGCCCGTCGCAGTTTGGTTTGGATTAATCAAGTAAAATCTTATCAAAGCTCATTTAAACTAATGGTATTTTATATTATCTTTATATGGGGTAATTTTTATATGCAAATAAATTAAATCATGATAATTAGAATGGAAGGATGCCCCATCAGGTGATAAGGAAATCTTACCAAGAGTGTAATAGGATCAAAATTTTTAGATAATTACGTAATTAATTAAGTTTCTCACACTATTTAATTATAAAATTACTTGTCCCCTCTGACTAAATCATTAACGCAGAGCCCGAAATAATATAATTGTAGAGAAATATTGAGTTAAGAACGCGAGGGAAACCGGGGGCAATAGCGAGTTATCTATTATAGCTACTGAAATTCCGGTATCTAAAGACAGCCTATTAAAAAAAATGTTCGAAATCATTTCAACTCAAGTTTGAAACCTTGATATAAGTAAAATATGATGGTGGCTAAGGAGACAAGCCATGGGTGCATGCCATTTGGAGACAGGAACTAAACACATGTGTGATGATGGTATATCGTCAAGCATTACTATTGTGTCAGTTCTGACATAGACTTGTATTTAATTTCGGGCTATCATTTTCAGGATTATTTATCAATTAATTTTATTGGTTTATACTGTATTTTGAAGAAATACCATGTTTTAAAATGGTCTAATATTTTTTTTATAATTTCAATGAAGAAAAAATTATAACATATATATACACACACTAATATTTTTCTATTTCTCTGTTATATGTCGTGAAAATCGGTCATTAAATGTATGGGTGTGATTTATCTTCCATTTCAGAACATAATTACATATAAACCATGTTGAATTTTTTGTTCTAAAAAACATTTTTTTTAATAAGTTTAATATAAAAAATGTGCTATATAAACACGTATATAAGTAGTAATGTCGTGTTCAAAAGATGCTTATTTAATTTTTATATGGTTACATAATGAACGCCCTCGATCGAAGCTATGTTCACACAGACAGTGTAAGGGAAATAGTGACAAAAATAAACCCCCAAAGAAGAGACAGAGACAACAATATAAAAAGCTCATAAAAAAACCAGCGTGCAGAACAAGGACAGTGCCACAACTGAGTCAAAACACCAGCATACGCAACGGATGATAGTTTTAATATGATATATCTTGTTATAGTGACAACCACACCATGCCTCTCTGTTAATAGCCTTGCTTGATACAAATAGTATTTAGGTAAATCTGACCGATTCATCATCCCTCGTGGTCACAGCCTCCGTCTCCCGAAAACGGTCATTCCTTATTTCCTCCAACATTTTCAACTGTTCTTCCATCCGACTGTTTGGTCGGCGATTTCTGTGTTCTATTACTGTTCTGATACGTTCCAATTCTTCTTTCGTGGTCGTCTTATTAAGAATAGTCTCGTAGACGTGCCACCAGTTGTCTATGGAGCCGAATTGTTTTTCACGGTTTTTTAACACATCCTCGTATATAGACCACCAGTTGTTGGCGTAATACTGCATGGGGTACGTTCTTGTAAGGTCAAATATTTCCATATTATGTGGGGACTTTCTGTTATTAAATGTGTTTGTGCTGTGAGTTATATTGATGATATTATCTTTGATATTATCCGTTGTAACGATTTCTTTATTGCGAGATTCGGATTTGTATTTTCTAATAATTTCTTTGTAATATTTTTCTAATAAACACAACTCTTCGTAAGTGTATTTGCTTGTGTCTATCTGTGAATATATGTTTAATATGTCTTGTATTTCTACTTTCTTTCTTTTATCGATTTTAATGTTTGAGAGTGCTTTTAATTTCTCGATCAGTGGATCAAAGCCTTTGTATATAAAATCTTTTTTAGCGAATTCTATTAATTTCAAGACAATCTCCTCGTATTTTTTATTATATTCCAAGTCTCTATTGACTGCTTTAGACCTGTCTACTTCGTCTATAAACGTTTCTAATGTGAATTTCTCTTTCTCATATTTATCTCTTTCTGTTTGATACTCCCCCAGTACTAATTCATGGCCACTGAATCTTTCTAATTCCTTTCGAGCTTCTTCCATTTTATCCAGGTTCCTCTTGGCTAGACCTTTCCACCATTCAGTGTCGTCTTTGAACATTTTCCAGAATTCCATCCTGACTTTTCTTGTCATAGTATTAACATCTGTCACTTTCGTGATCTTAGTCTCTTCCGTGGTCCCGTTTGTCATTTCCGTGGTTATAACATCGGGTTTGACAGTGATTTCTGTGGACTCAGATTTTTGTTTCTCTTCTGGACTGAGAAGCTGTTTCACAGCTTCCTTGGCTTCGGGTGACGTAGTGTGTACATCTAAATTCACTGGTCTGATCTTTTTCAATCTAAATACGGGACTCTTTAGTTCCCCATCATCGTCTAATTTAGGTTTTTTATTGGGAACTGTTTCAATTTTAACATCATTAACTATTTCTGTATCTAGATGTTCAATAACAGCTGATAGACGTTTCATTTCATTATCCAAATCATTATTTGCTTTAATTCTTTGTAGTGTATCTCTTTTTCTTTTCTTTTCTGCCTTATCAGCAATATCATGACACAAATCTGTTAGCTTTTTCACTTCACCTAGCAGGATATTTTCACCATACTTAAGAACCCTCCAATCCATATCAACGAGGCTATTTCTGGCCGCCTTATTGTAACGTTCATTTAAATCATCATCTTTAGCACTTCTAGCTGGCGGTCTGGTCAACAAACTCTCTATGTAAGTGATGATCTCTTCACAATTATCGTGGAATATAGTCGGGGAGACGTCATCATCTTGGCTGGAATAGTCTAGGAGCTTGACGAGTTCGTCTTCCTGGTCGGATTGGAAGATATCGGTTTCTGAATCGCACGAGTTATAGTCTGCACGTAGCGTAATGGACCGTCGGTTATATTTGGGCAGGGTGTTCGTTTTAAACGGCAAGCTCCATCGTTTCGTGGTGTCAGACAGCCGCTGATGGAATACAATCAGCTTAAAAGTCCAATATTGACAGACAAACACACAAGTTACATTTATGTACAAGCACAAAAATATGTGAAATAATTTTCCCTGGACAAAACAACGTTTATTACCATGAAAATGTGATTTCTCATTTTTTTTTGTGATTTGCCAAGATCTATATCACTCTGACAGTGACTAATGTTAGTGTAATTCGGTCGAAAAACGGTAGTAAATACTCGGTGTAAAATTAAATTTTTTGTTTTCGCAAACAAGTTATCTTATCCGTAGTTGTTTTAAAATATACTTTTCATACAGGCATGTCGAATTTGTCTGTCTGTGATTCGTAAAGTGTTTTTCGAAAATTGTATTATATTAAAATTTGTTTTTAATTTAATTTGCAGTAATAATATTCAATCGTAATAACGATCAGTGATATATTTGCGAAACCAAAAAAGTATTAAATACGAAACACGATCGGCACCCGTACCTTGGCGGCGTGCTTGAGGCGGTGCATGTCGGGGTGCGCCACGTGCTTGCCGGAGGCGGCCGTGGTGGCGGCGGCCAGGTCCCGCAGCGCGCCCGCCACGTCCCGCGCCGCGTGCAGCAGCAGCACCTGCGGCTCCGGGTTGGCCGAGCCCAGCGACATCGCGCCCAGCTTCACCACCTCGCACAGTTGCACTGCCACCGATCGTACCATTAAGAACCTTATACATATAATACCTACATCTTTGGAGAAAACCAGGAATGACGGAAATTCACTCCATGTCGCTCAAACGTAGTGATTGGTGCATGCACAACATTAACGTTGTAATATTTAAATTTCAAACACACATTCTCAATAGTTTTTAGCTTATCTAAAACATTAATAATTTAGTAACATTCAAGGTAAACAATTTATGAACAAAATAAATTAATTTTTTTGTGAATAATTTAGAGGAAGGGCTCGTGACTAAGTGTTAAACGAGTAGTTTATCAACAACCTTCAACAGTCCACTGCTGGACTTAAGGCTCTCCTTAGAAAGGAGGTTTTGGCCTACTATACCACGCTGGCCAGACGTGTTGGTATAGGGTTTGTGTCAAGTTTTCCTCTCTTTACAGTGCTGTTGTTCTGCGTAGTTTGCTCCCTTAGTCGGCTCTTACGACACCCACGGGATGAATAGGGGTGGCGACACTCCGTATTCTTAATCCGTCACCACCAAATCATAATAACATCATAATAATAAATAAGGAAATGATTTGGGGTCGTGGTTAATGAGGTAACAGTTGTAACAGGTGGTAGTTGTAACAAAACAATATGAAATTATTCAAAAAAATTATTCGAACCTTTTCCCCAATAAATTCCCCAAAGGCCTATGTCCAGCAGTGGACTAGTAATGGCTGTTGATAATGATAATGATGATGATTATAATTTCTATAATATTTTGACTAGTCAGCTAAACCTCTGTTTCAATGTGTGAATAGATGTTAGCTCACACACAATTAATATTAGACTATAAATACTAAAACAATTTACTAGCAACAGAGTAATAAAATAGTATCTGAATACGTAACAGTAGTTTCACTACAAATAATAATAATAAACTATTTTTTCCCACTGTAACGTCCTATTTTCGTAATTACACTTAAATCCGAACCTCTACAATTTCTAGGCAAATTTAATACCAATCTGTTGAACCATTTTAACGTGATTAAGTAATTAAACATAAACTCTTTAAGCGATTACAGATTATGATAGTAGACAAAAGTAGGGGTATCTATAAGTATAGGTATCTTACCGATAGTGGAGACTGCGCTCTGAGCAGCTGTAGCCAACTGCTCCTGGGTACCGGCCGCCCCACCAACCAGGGTCTTGGTATCTTCCACCAGGGTTTTAGCCGTCTTCAGAATATTCTCGCGGTGGTCAGAGAACGTGTCTGTGTCTTTCTCCGAGTGTAGGGTACCTGTCATAATGAAATTTTACATATAGATATTATTATTTTAAACTAGCTTTTGCCCGCGGCTCCGCCCGCGTCTAAGCCTATGTTACTCGCTGATAATGTAGCTTTCCACTGGTAAAATAATTTAAAAAATCGGTTTAGTGGTTTAGGCGTAAAAGTCACAAACAAACTCACTTTTTACATTTATACTTCCCCTACTTGGAACCGACTTGACTTGGACTTGACTTAGACTCGGCATGGGCTTGGACAGAAAAGGACGGAAGCCCTTTCTGTCCAAGCCCATGCCAAGTCTAAGGTAGTCAGTACACGCGGTTGATGGCGTTGTAAATTAATCGTCAAGTTTTACATCGCAATATTAAGATTAAAAAGTTATCAAATTAATTAAATGATTTAAGTAAGTCTCTGATTGTTTTAATCAACCTTCTGCTGTACACTTTCCCTGTTACACCATTCAGTCCTGAAAAGGATTGACGAAAAACAAGAGAGAGGTTGCGCATCAAGAAGTACACCTACCCTTACATATTTTTTAATTAAAATCAAGTTAAAAAACATTTCGTGAAATTGGGATAGGTGCCAGCACTTTATAAACATTATTGTTTTTTATGTGTGGAATATATCCTGTGTCGCAAGGAACTTTACAAACATACATGAAACGGACACAAAGAACACACAGACTCAGAACGACAATTTGTGGATCACACAAAGTGTCGTCCCATGTGGGGATCGAACCCAAAACCACTACGCCATCTGCGAAGTTAGTTTTTTTATGTTAGATATGGCTGACATAAGGACATATTTATTTACTAAAGGACAGTTACAACACGCAACCCGTTACCACTTCCTAGCGTTTTAGCTGGGAAGAAGAAGCGATGGAACCAACTCCCCAAGTAGGTAACAGCTCAGTAAGGAGGTATATAAGAGCGAGTGGTAGTGACCTGCGCTGGCGAACAGTATGGTGGTGTCGAGGTCCCCGATGATGGCGGATATGGTGGCCGCGGCGTCGATGCAGGCCTGCGTGCCGCGCGAGCCCGCCTGCAGCGCGCCCAGCACCGCCACCACCTGCACCACAAACAAACAATCAACATCTACTTAAGTTTATTTATTTATATACATACACTCACGCCTGTTTGCCCGAGGGGGTTAGGCAGAGGCATTATAATGCCTACATTTGGCGACTATATATTTATAATATAGTTTATTTCGGCACAAGCCCAGAATTGTTAGTATACATTTGTTAATCTCAGTATTTTTAGTATTACGGATCCCTGTTGTAGTTTACTTGGATTCGAACCAACTACCACTTGATCTCAAGTCTGACACCCTAGACATTACACTACAGACGTTTACAATTGACTCGCTATTGTATTATTAATTCATCAACAGCCTTTAATAGTCCACTGCTGGACATAAGCCTCTCCTTAGAAAGGAGGTTTTGGCCTATTATACCACGCTGGCCAGACGGGTTGGTATAGGGTTTGTGTCAAGTTTTCTTTCTCTCTGCAGTGCTGTTGTTCTGCGTAGTTTTTTCCCTTAATCGGCTTTTACGACACCCATGGGAAGAATAAGGGTGACACTCAGTATTTTAATGCGTCACCACACGAACGGATTATTAATTAATCTGTGACATAGGCCTCAATCAATGAGTTTAGTATTAACCAGAATCCACCGACAATTGTTAAACATTGTTTAAGTAAAATAAAAATGTACCTTCTCGTTGACAATCTTGGCGTTGTCAGCCACGGCGCGTTGGTTCTGAGGGATGGCAGAGAGGCGACAGTGACCGCCAGCCTTGATCAGCTCGGAGACACTCTCACCTAGTTCCACTACCGCCACACGAATCCTGGGTGACAACAGACATATGTATATAATTGCATGTATGTGTCTAAATTTCTTTCCGGAGAATTTCTCCTATCCCGTAAAAGTTGACTACCCGTGTGGGAAATTATCCTGAACAACCAGACAAACCAACATTATTTAAATATATCTTTTAGAATAATTAGCGTGTTAACGTTCAGACTTTGGAACAGTGATCATTAACACAGGTAAATCTGCGAGACGACTCGGAGCCGGAGCTCGCAGATTGACCTCCGCCCTCCATAAGGTGACAGGTGAGGCCATCTGTCACCCTAGGGCGCCCATTCGGGAGCACAAAGAGGACGTAGGGGTTCGCAAACAGGAGGGGGTTATATACACGCCGTAGATGGCCCGAGGTATGTCAGGGTATCAGGGATTTCCCTCCTAGGGTAAACCTAGTTCTCCGGCAACTGGTAACCGAGACGAAGTGCGGTTTTTGGTCGTTTCGACTCCGACATAACCACCGGTGGGTGGTATAAAGGGGACTTCCGAACAGAAAGTATATTACAAAGATAACTTAAACACGATGACACCTCGACATTATTGACTGGCCTGTTGGTCTAGTGGTTAGTGACCCGACTGCTACGCCAGAGGTCGTGGGTTCGATTCCCACCCAGGACAAATATTGTGTGATGAGTATGGTTATTTGTTCTGTGTCTGGGTGTACTTTATCTATAATATGTATGTATTTAGAAATATATGTGTATGTCTATCAGCAGTCTGGTTACCATAGTACAGGCTCTGCCTAGTTTGGGATCAGACGGCCGAGTGTGAGATGTGTGAAAATATTATTATATTACGACTACATTCTGATGTGCCAGATATTACTGGCATGAAAAGAGTGGATACGAAATGAATCTCGATGGATGTTGTAATATAAATTTTCTCTAAAACTTTTAGTGTAATAGGCCAGATAATAATACCAGACCTTGCACCTACCGACTATTACTTTTTCCAAAATTTAGACAACTTTTTAGTGGGTAAAAAATTCAATTCCCGAGAGGCAGTACAGAATGCCTTTGAAGAGTTTGTTGCCTCCCGTCCAGCTGATTTTTACAAGAAGGGCATCAATAAACTGCCAATGCGTTGGCAAAGATGCGTCGATTGCATGGGTGATTACTTCGAATAACAGAAATAAAAAAATAAGTACTTTCACTTATTGCATACAAAACGGCAATTTCATAGGTAAAGACCTATTATTTACCTATTAGCAACATCTCCGTTGGGCGTGGTAGCGGACGCTCCCACACTATCCTGGGCCAGCTGTTCGTATTTCTGGCACATCTCGTTCCCTAACTGGACAAGCCGGCTCGCATCTGTCGCTGACTTTGCAGTCTACAACAACAAAATATTACATAAAACACAATTATTTCATATTTGATGGTACAGGGAGCACACGATAAGGAGGTCTCGGTGAGTAGATAAATAAAAGTGGACTGTATGTTGCGCTGGTTTTTAATGTCTACAAGAGGTTGAAAAGGCAGTGATCTCGTTCGAGTACATAAAGCGAGTGGTAGTACATAATGGCAATAGTGGTGGGAGCCGTTGCGCCCGTCCCCGCTTCTCGTTGCCTCCCCGTCACCTGCGGTTCAGCCGGTTATAAGCACCGGCCCACTGCGATGTAGAGGATCGAGGTTTGATTCTCGACATCCCCTGTTATTAAGAGACTACCACCTCCAATAGACACCTTCAACTCGTGCATCCCCCCAGCATTAAGAAGAGATGTATATACATAGAAACACAGGCACAAACATATTAATGCCAAAATTCCACAGAAACCGTTACAAGCGTGATGTTAAATGTTAAAATCGCGATTTACGTTATACTAACAGCGCCATCTATCGAGAATGTAAACTAAATGCTTATGTAGAAAGCTTACCATATCTGTTGAAAGTCTTGCTATCTCCTTCGCAGCGCCGACCATACGAGTTTGATAGTCGACAAACGAGTCTGTCTCGTCGTATGACCCTATTAACGACATTCTGTAACAATAATACAATAATAAACATCTATACTAATATGTAATAGGCTAAACCTATATCTGACTGCACGGATGGCGCAGTGGTTTAAGCGGTCGCCACGCCGCTTCCTACTGCGCCGAGTGTTGTGGGTTCAAACCCCACATGGGACGACACTTTGTGTGATCCACAAATTGTTGTTCTGAGTCTGGGTATTCCTAATGCGGGAGTAGTCTTTTAAAAAAAATTAAGAAAAAGCAATATTTACATTACGTATTTTGTATTAAAACACAATTTAAATTTCCCTTGAAAACGCTGAATAGTGTCATGGCGTCTTGAATGACGTCATAGTCTGCGAAAGAAAACTGTTTACATCTGTGTCCAGTGTCAACTGTTTTTAAAAAAAAAAATAAGTAAAAGCAATATTTACATTACGTATTTTGTATTAAAACACAATTTAAATTTCCCTTGAAAACGCTGAATAGTGTCATGGCGTCTTGAATGACGTCATAGTCTGCGAAAGAAAACTGTTTACATCTGTGTCCAGTGTCAACTGTTTTTAAAAAAAAATTAAGAAAAAGCAATATTTACATTACGTATTTTGTATTAAAAAACAATTTAAATTTCCCTTGAAAACGCTGAATAGTGTCATGGCGTCTTGAATGACGTCATAGTCTGCGAAATAAAACTGTTTACATCTGTGTCCAGTGTCAACTGTTTTTAAAAAAAAATTAAGAAAAAGCAACATTTACATTACGTATTTTGTATTAAAAAACAATTTAAATTTCCCTTGAAAACGCTGAATAGTGTCATGGCGTCTTGAATGACGTCATAGTCTGCGAAAGAAAACTGTTTACATCTGTGTCCAGTGTCAATAGGGAATATGCACGTGACACCGAAATGGACAACTTATTTTTATTTGTAATTTTTGTTGCTAAAAAAAGATACCCATACAATTATTTTTGAAATTTATTATAATTTAATAGTGAAATTTAATCATCAAAAATTGGCTTTTTTAAGATTCCCTCGCAAATTTCTAAAACGCAACGCTATTGGTTGAATAAAACGTGACGTCAACCTACACTGTCAAGAGTGTCAACAAGTTGTGTGTATTTGTAATATTTGGTTTCTGGTGATTATTTGTTTCATTTTAAGTTAATAACTAATACGTTTTCAGTGTTAAATTAATAAATTCCCATGTAGAAAGACTCAACACAATGACTGAATATTTAAAATTGCACTTTGTCAGGTGCAGTTTTGATATTATTTGGGCACAAAGGAACGGCACAATATTTATAATAAGGTTTATTGGCTTTTCCATGGTGATAAGTTAATTTTTATCACTCACTTTTTTAACTTTCACAAACTTTGTGAACTTCACTCCGTTGTTGACATCGAATTCGTCTGAAAGTGGAATCTGACGTCACAAAAAAAGCGCGCCAAAATGGACGTGTTCAAATTGCCCCAAAATGATAGTGATGTTAATAAATTTTTTTTTGCTTAACGGTTTATATTTCGGATGTGTTATATTTATTTTTGGTAATGTAATAACTAGTAGAATCGTTAAAAAAAATAAAAAAAATACATGCATATTCCCTATTGTTTTCTAAAAATGAATAAGGAATAACCTGTACTGTTTTATGAAAACGTCATCAACAACAATTATGTTTTGCGTGGCGTGACGTAACACTGTCTGATTGGTGTTCGCTGTCACGTGACTTAATGCCTATTTTGATCTTTTTTTTAAAATATTAATAATCTTTAACGTTTATGAGAAATAGACTGTTTTTTTCTTATCTATGTCTCTTCATTTATAATTTGAAACTATAAACCAAGCAATTTGTTATTAGATGACACTAGCCTATTACCCGTGTGGTGACGGATTAAGAATACGGAGTGTCACCACCCCTATTCATGACGGGTAGATGTCGTAAGAGCCGACTGAGGACAAACTGCGCAGCACAACAGTATTGCTAATAGAAGGAAAACTTGACACAAACCCTATACTAACCCGTCTGGCCAGCGTGGTATAGTAGACCAAAACCCCCTTTCTAAGGAGAGGCCTATGTCCAGCAGTGGACTATTGATGATGATAATACTAATGTTATAAAACAGAAGTTTGTTTGGTTTGTTGTACGCTACTCTCAGGAACTACTGGTTGCAATTAAAACATTCGTTTAGAATCTGATGTCTCATTTATCGAAGAAGGCTATATATAGGCTAAATAATAATAATAATATTCTACCACATTCACACAACGCCATCTAATCCCAAACTCAGCAGAGTTTGTACTATGGGTACTAGACAACTTATATAAATACATATATTGTAATAACCCCTACATATATATACTTTTGTTTGTAAATACATACATATTATACATAGAAACACCCAGACCAAATCAAACATTAAAAGTTCATGCACACAAATGTTTGAATTGAGCGGGAATCGAACCCGCGACCTTTGGAATAGCAGTCCGTTACACAAACCACTACGCCATCCGGTCGCTAATAACATCACGCTGTCTAAAAGGAGTCAAGCATCAATAAAAATGAAATGTTGCAAAGAGCGGGTAGATTTATTCCTTTTGAAAGACGCAGACATGGTTATGAGGGTCAGCCAGAGGAATATATACAGAAAAACTAAACATTCATTAAACTATAACGATTGGAGCGTGAAGGAAACACCTTGACTTATATCTTAGCACTTCAAACGATTGACACACACACACATAACATACATACCGTACATTTGAATCAGTTTAACGATGTCAGCAATATACATATAAAGTCAGACATATAAAGAGTTTTATAGAATAACATGTAATAAAGTGAAAACGTTAGTAGAAAATGCGTTACGTTCTATCTTTTGAATAATCTATACTAATATTATAAAGCTGAAGAGTTTGTTTGTTTGTTTGAACGCGCTAATCTCAGGAACTACTGGTCCGATTTAAAAAATTCTTTCTGTGTTAGATAGCCCATTTATCGAGGAAGGCTATAGGCTATATATCATCACGCTAAGACCAATAGGAGCGGAGCACCAATGAAGAATGTTTCCAAAACGGAGAAAATTTATTACTATTGAGAGACGCAGACGAAGTTGCGCGGGTCAGCTAGTCTAATATATAACGTGTCTCGTATCTCGTGACACGGTGTTCGTGGTTGCACTCCTAAGAAACGGCTCGAACGATTTTCGTGAAATTTTGTGTGCATATCGGTAAGGTCTGAGAATCGGCCAACATTTATTTTTCATACCCCTAATTTTTTCTTTTTTTACATTTTTTTTTTAATAATTTATATGGCAAAACATCGTTTGCCGGGTCAGCTAGTAATTTATAATAATAATGATGACTGTACGGATGGCGTAGTGGTTTAAGCGGTCGCCACACCGCTTCCTACTACGCCGAGTGTTGTGGGTTCAAACCCCACATGGGACGACACTTTGTGTTATCTACAAATTGTTGTTCTGAGTCTGGGTGTTCTTTGTGTCCGTTTCATGTATGTTTGTAAAGTCCCCGCGACACAGGATATATTACTAATGCGAGAGTTCTCTTTAAAAAAAAAGAAAGAAAAGAAAAGTAAAGCGCTTGTACAATGTAAAAATGTTAAGTGAAATATGTACAATTCAGGCAGTACCACTACGCCATCCGTGCAGTCAATTTCGTCTTTGTAATATTAGTTTGATAATTTACATTAGAAAAAACCGTTTTAACATATAATTTTACCTTAAAAATTAATTACCTTTTAGAGAAAAGCATTGGTTTTGTAATATATCGATTCACTTCCGAAAATATAAAAACACACAACAGATTATAACTTAACAGTAACTTTTATTGAAACACTTGACACTAAAAATGAATAATCGATTTAAAATTTAGTTTCTGAACGACCGTTTATCGATACTCGTTCTTCGTGTCGATGGTATCGAAAGCTTGGACGCACTGAACTGTCTGTGTAGTAAACAAGACGCCAGATGGAGACGGTCTTATAATAGATTGCTGTAGGTTAAGGATTCACGTCTTACGGGTGAAGTTTATAACCAAACTTATTCGATTAACGGCTAGAAATATACACTGAAGTCTTTTATCCCCAAAGGGGTAAATAATAATAATAATATTTTCGGACATCTGACACACAAGGCTATCTAGTTTTAAACTAAGCAGAGCAAGCTAGATTGACTGATAGAATGCTTTTATACTTTTTTTTTGTAAATACATATATATTATACATAGAAAACACCTAAATTCCTTGACAAAAATTTGCTGATTATACAAACATTTGGTTCGACCAGGGAGTCGAGAGAAGAATACAGAGTGTCACCACCCCTATTCATCCCGTGGGTGTCGTAAGAGGCGACTAAGGGAGCGAAACAGGACACCAACACTGCAGAGAAAAGGAAAACTTGACACAAACCCTATACCAACCCGTCTGGCCAGCGTGGTATAGTAGGCCAAAACCTCCTTTCTAAGGAGAGGCCTATGCCCAGCAGTGGACTGTTAAAGGCTGTTGATGATGATGAGGGAGTCGAACCTGAGACTTCAGCACAGCAGTCGCATACGTTACCACTGCACCACCGACCGACCATACATACAGATAAATTACACTCAGAGAGAACAAATAATCGTATTCATCACACAATGTTTGTCCTGGATGGGAGCTGGACCCACGACCTCTGGTACAGCAGTCAGAACAGCCAAGCTATTTAATAATGTGATGGCGGTTTTCAATATTTGGTCCGAGCTGGGAATCGAACCCGAGACTTCAGCACAGCAGCCGGGCCCTACGCCGCGATTGAGGGGGGAAGTGTTTTCCCCTGATTACTTATTAGGCATGGTATTAATTCGGGGAGGACCTGAAATAACATAGTACGGGTCCTCCCAGAGAAGGACACCTGATGCCGGGAGTCGGGGTGGTTTTTAATGAAGATCCGGAGGGATTTTCTACCCCGTCAAAAAAAAAGTATATGTTTTTGATATTATTACTGCCAACAAACTTAAACCAAAATGCACCCACTTCCTGTTTTCTCTGCATCACCCAAAGGTTGCCTGGTAGAGAATGCGTTAGGCATTAAGTCCGCCAATGCACAAATAAATACATCGAAAAACCTGTTGGTCTAGTGGTTAGTGACCCTTACTGCTAAACCGGAGGTCGTGGGTGCGATTCCCACCCAGGACAAATATTGTGTGATGAGCACGGTCATTTGTTCTGTGTCTGGGTGTAATTTATCTATAATATGTATGTATTTAGAAATACATAAGTATGTTTATCACCAGTCTGGTTACCTGGCTCTGCCTAGTTTGGGATCAGAAGGCCGTGTGTGAAATGTGTGGTATATATTATTATTGTAATATCTGATTCTGGACGAGTTACTCGAACTGACGATCAAGTGAAAACTACCTAAATTAAGAATACCATCGTATAATTAATACGATAAGATACGTCGAACATTAGATCACCGACATTTCAATATTGGAAGTGAGCCAAATGCAATACTCAATGAGAATGATAATATCTTTATGAATTGTATTAATTAATGAAGCATGCATTGAGTGGATGCTGGAGAGATCAAACGAATTAAGATATACATTGCTTAATTCATAATTATAATAAAACTATTGTATCAATGTTAAATTATCTGGTTATTAGTTAAATTTACTTTTAATCAATGCGGCTAGTTCATGACGAAAAATAATGATACTGAACTAGGCTGAGGGGGTATTATGGTAACCAGGATGGCTGATAAACATATTTTTATATTATTAAATACATATCACATCACATCACATCACACAATAAATGATCGTGCTCATCACACAATATTTGTCCTGGGTGGGTAGCGAACCCACGACCTCTGGTTTTGTAGTCAAGATCACTAACCGCTAGCCCACGAGGTTAGTTAGGACATTTTATTAATCTGTACACTTTACTCCTTCATTTTGACCCTCAGTGTGGATTTTTTCAAATTTGAACGCGAACGGTCCTAGTAAATCAAAACTATTTGGAAACGCCTATAAGTGGATAAAAGCCAAAGTAATCTTTTTTATTTGTAACGTGGTATCACACCCGGCCTTCTTCGTTCTACTGCGGTCCCGACTTTATTTACACCTACTCTCTTTCTTTTATTCCTTACTCACTTTTACATTCTTCCTCTGTTCTATTTGAAAACAACTACTTTCGATAAGGGTTGGTGTTAGCGTCAAACGCTTTTATTAGTCCACTGCCGGACATAGGCCTTTCCTTAGAAAGGAGGTTTTGGCCTTCTATATCCACACAGGCTTAATCGTTTTTGGAGCAGAAGAAGAATGGGGGTGGGGGGGGGGGGGGCGGGGGTTGGTAACTGATGGTTAGTAAGATCAGACAATAATAGGACGCAGTGACGTATGTTTTCGCAAGCCGTACGTCCTTAACCGCGCAGTCAGCTGTCAATATATTTATATAAATAGACACTCTGACACACAAACTATTTAAAGCGGTTACTAGTTGCACACATATTGTATGTGTTCGTATGTCGGTATCAATTGAAATGTGCTTATTGACTAGCTGACTTGTGTGACTTCGTCTTTTGGGCTTTCAAAAAGAATGTTTAAAATCTAAATAACATAGTATTTTAATTATGTAGATCATAAGTTGAAGATTGTGTTCGATAGATGGCGTTGTATTTAACGGCTACATCGCGTTATGGTATGTTACCCGCGATAAGCATATAAGCAGATGTTAAAATTTTTGTAGACGAGAATTATAGCTCCTAGATCAGAATACAGTTGTGGTTTCATTTATTCCCAACCGTTCTAGTAGTTAATAGGTTAATAAACAAATAAAAATAATATTTGTCTCTGTTTTGCAACATTTTTCAGTGATGTTCAGTTCTTATCGGTCATAGAGCGATGTTATATATAGCTTATATAGTCTTTCTCGATAAAAGGATATCTAATATTAAAATATTTTTTCAATTTAAACTATTCGAGTGAGATTAGCGCGTTAAAACAAACAGACAAATAAACTGATTAGCTCAGCATGTCTTTTGTTCAGATTTGGTTTTAGACGTATATAAGTATAATTTTTGAACGCCAACTCCCGCATTAGGAATATATGGTGTGGGGCACGCACCTGTGCTCGGTGAGGCGGGCGATGGAGCGCGCGAGCGTGTCGAGCAGCGGCCCCACGGCCCCGCGCGCCGCGCTCACGTCCCGCACGCGCGCCACCAGCTCGCCCAGCGCCCCGCGGCTCGCCGCCGCCTGCGCGTCCACGCGCCCGTGCACCGACACCGCCTGACCAACACAAACGTATTGCCTGCATCCATAATAATATATACCGATGTCTCTAATAATATTTCGGACATCTAACCTACCATACAAATAGGCATATATAGGCATAGGCATATATAGGCAACGAGAGAAACGGATAATAGATAGTTCTCTCTATCTCTTTCTAGTCGAGCTCTGCGGTCGACTGGGGAATATGAGGATTTAACTTAGCTTAACAGAGACAGAGGGAAATATCGAGCACCCATCTCTCTCGTTGCCTGCATCGCTTCCGCTTACAGGCAGCTGTACCCGGTGTTCTTTCTATGGTTATAGCTCTATGCACACAACGCTATCTAGTTTGAAACTGAGCAGAGCTTGTACTATCAAAACTAGATTAACTAATAGAATCTTTATATATATTTTTCGTAAATGCATACTAATTATACATAGAAAACACATAAACTCCGAAACAAATATTTGCAGATCATACAAACATTTGATCCGACCCAGGAATCGGGTAATCAATACTATAATCTACTGTCTTCAAAGTGTTAACGGAACAAAATATTGAGATCTTCAATGAATACTATTAAAGCCCGAATGTTCGGACTCGTATTATTAGTTGACAAAGATTGGCTGTTTTATTTTAAGATTTCTTACCAGAAATGCCTTTTTATTCTACCCAAATGCTGGATGTTATAACGTCAAAATAAGTGTACTGTTTATGCCTTCGCAGCACCGATTCGGGGAAGACATTGAAATCAAACGGTCTCAATTCTCCTTAGAGTAAAGCATCTGAGGCCGGCCATCGAAGTGGTTTTTAGTTTAAACACCACATACTCCTAGCTCCTGTATTACCACGATGGCTTCCCGAAAAAACTTTTCACCCCATCCCCAAAAAATACCAGATGTATTGTTCTATCTAAATCACTAATCATAGAGATGATATAGAAAGTTCAACTCAGTTGTGCGCGCGGCCCTATGTGTGCGTGGGCTTGTAAATATACAACTTTCATTCGTGTGGCAGTGACTCTGTGCTCGGACGACGACTGAGTTGAACTATCTATACCTCATTTTAAATTTAAAAAATGCAATAAGCTATACTTTTACAAGCGTTATGACAGTTAAGGAATCTTTTTTACTATAAACCTACATCCAAACATTAAAACTGTAAAATTTAAAGTCACTGGTAAAATTTGTTTTTTTTTTTTATGTTAGAGGGGGCAAAAGAGCAGACGGGCAGACGAACAGACCTGATGAAAAGTGACCATCGCCGCCCATGAACGTCTGCAACTCAGGAGTCACAAACGCGATGCCGGCCTTTTAGGAAGGAGTACGCTTACGATTTGTTTAATACTTTTCGCATAGGGGTGTCTACCCTACACAGATTTCTAAGACAATATTATGTATTTTAAACTTATATCCACAAAGTACATAATAGGTTGTCATACCCTGGGGTTGCCAGCAGCAGTCTTGGCTTCCACCAGCAGTTGTGCGGCGGTCTCCAGTACGGTGCGGGTGTGCTCCAACAAGTTGGCCTGCGTGTTGGACTCGGTGATGTTGGACGCTGCGCCGATGGCGCCTGACACTAGAGGCTCCACGTACGACACCTGGGACCAACACCGTGTTATTATTTTTATTACTGGATACTGTTTTTATGATGTGGAAGGTTAATAATAATAATAATAATTTCACACATCTCACACACGGCCGTCTGATCCCAAACTAGGCAGAGCCTGTACTGTGGTAACCAGACTGCTGATAAACATACTTATATATTTCTAAATACATACATAATATAGATAAATTACACCCAGACACAGAACAAATGATCGTGCTCATCACACAATTATTTGTCCTGGGTGGGAATCGAACCCACGACCTGCGGCTTAGCAGTCAGGGTCACTAACCACTAGACCAACAGGCCCGTCTGGTTGTTAGAAATATTTTATTGGAGACTGACCAGTTGTGTAACAGCATGTCCAAGGTTCTCCGCCTCGCTGTTGGCGGCGACGCGCAGCGGTTCCAGACGCTCCAGCATCTCTGTAGCGCTGTTCTCAATCTGCTCCGTGTAGCCTGCACAACAGATATATCAACCAATAGAACCTATTTTCTTATAGAGCAAACAGAGCTGATGATAAGTAATACCTGTACCTCAAGAGACAGGAGTAACTTTAAGAACCTAACCCCTATCCAAAATTTACCCCACCTCACTCACTGCTTTAAAAGAATTTCTCAAAACTGGTTTTTGGAAGTTGTTTATTTTATTTTGTGGCCGTGGTGCTTCCCTGTTTAAAAGGGTGTATGCCTTTTTTTTGCTTCATTTTGTCTCCCGCTTTGCTAAGGAGGGAAGTGGATTTACTGTATTTCCAACTCCTCCAATTTTCTTCTGATTAATTTCGTTGCGGGATCCAAGACAGTTTAATTTCTTCCTGGGACTTCCCGAGTGTCATAACTCGGTGTGTTCGTGGGTCACTGCTGTGGATCCTGGTGTACAGGAGTTACAGTGGTGGGTGTGTGGGTGGGATTAGTCCCATTAAAAAAAAAAACTTGTTTATATGCTAATCGGCTCGAGAACTATTCATATTGCGATACAGGATTAGCAGTTACTCCGTAGTTCGGCGTGTCATCGCTAGATGGCGCTGAAGTGTGTTTTTGTTTTATTGTATGCGGAAGTCGTCAAAAGATTTTAAAACATACTTGTAATAAAATCAACATTCCAAAAAATCCAGGTTTATTCTCATACCTTGAAGATTATTATTCTTTCTCGGCATCAGTTCTTGTCCAACAGCTTGCATGGCGACATGGTCCAGTTCTCGAAGTTGTTTGTTGAGGGCCTCCAGGCCGTTGGCACATTCGCGTTGGCCTGGAGCTTTCTCTCTGGTGGGAGAAACGAAAGGATTTAAGATATGTGCAGACCGGACTAATACAGTTATTTGTGAATATGGGTTATTGATATTGGATAGCGATATAGAAATTCATCTAAGAATATTTATTTGTATGGAAATCATTAATTATGGGTGGTTGGTAAGTTGGTGAAATCATATATCGGGGAAAGAGGGGGGAACTCACTTGATATTGGTGACGAGCGCTTTGATGCTGTCGGAGACGGTCTTGCTGTGCTGCGCCAGCAGCTGCCAGTGCGCGCGCTCAGCTGGAGCTAGCGCCAGTGCACGCGCTGACTCCAGCATCGAACACGAGCCAGAGATTATGCTCCTGGGAGACGAATACAATATTAATCTTACTCCATTCTAATAAGACTAAAAATCGTACGCAGCTGTCTACGTTTCGTCAATGTCTCTTACCTTCCACAGTCTAATATAGCCTCTTGGTTCTGCCTGGCTTGCGGCGAGATCTTCGCAGGGATGGAAGCAAACTCTGGACTGTCAGCGAATTGGCACAAACTGCGGACGGCGTCCTGTAGAGGTCCAGTCGCAGCGGCACAACGGGCGCGATTAGCCTAAAACATCCATACCATTTACTATCATGGTCATGGTCACATGGTCCTTCGAGCCGATATATACTGAATACTTATCACAATGCAAAACATATGATTATTTTATGATATTAATGATTTATTAGGAAATTGTGTCTATTTGTACCCACCTCGCTGTAGTCGGTGTCGAGCGCCTTGATCTCCTTGACGAGCGCGGCGGTGCTGTTGGCCACGTCCTTGGCGGCCTGCACGAAGTGTCGCTTGGCCTGCGGCTCGGCGGTGCGGCCCGACGCCACGCGGCACGCGTTGCACAGCGCGCTCGTGTGCTTCGCTATCACCGTCGCCGCCGACAGCACCTGTGCATACCATGGCTTAGTCACTTCGAGTTACCGGTGTAAGACCCTGACCTGCTTACACTCCTCAAACCATCCGTATAAGCTTTATTTCTTTCCTACTCTCGCTCTTTCATCTAATTCCTAAAGGTTCACTTATGTCAATACCTGATAAGTTTGATTAAAATTATATTTGGCAAACTAAGGCATTTAATATGCCTTTAATTACCCCTTCAGAGATTGAGCCGGTTTATATAAATATACCGTATTATATACAGTAGATGCCATGAATTTCTATATCATGCCATTTTCAACACACTAAAATTTATTTAATTATTTTTGGATTAGCAGCCCATTGCCAAGTAATTGTTACATAGGTAATTTAACATAAGGCTTTGTTATGAGAGGACCAGTGACCATGAAGGCGAGCAAAACTAAGGGAATCATCTAGTTATTTTATAAGTAAAGCCTATGATTACGTTCATCATTTAATTTTCTCAAGTAGAAGTAGATATAGTACAAATATTAGAAGATATGCTAAAACGATTCACTTTATAAGTAAATAATAATACTCAATCAATTACCGTTTGTGTATTTTAAAGAACGTAGCTGCAAATTACATAAGGAGTACCACAAGGTTCTATTGCAGGGCCATTAACATTATCCAACTAAAATATATTACATTAAGAAATTGTTTATTATATGTTTGTGATGTACTAACCTGCTGTTGGTTGCTAGAAGAGTCTGAAAGAGCACGACAGGCCTGCTCGATAGCAAGAGCAGCGCGACCAAACTGTGCTTGGTCCACCAGACCCGGTCGACCTGCTACTGAAGTCTCGTCTGACACAGCCACCTGACGACCAAATTTTCATTGTAAAAAAAATATTCAGTTACAATTTATAGCAGGGTTTGTGGTCAATTTATGCACATTAATATAATCCAGATGCGCGACAGGGAGGATCAATATTGAGGTTATGTCCCTTTCACAAAATCACAGATTGCAGGAAAGGGTAGATGATATGAGGTTCATACCAGGTACGCAGCCTGCGCGGTGCACTCGACGAGCCCCTGCACGGCGCTGGCCACGGTGGCCACGGCGCGGCTGAACTGCTCCACCTCGCTGCGTTTCACCGACGACGCCATCGACGACATGCCCTCGCCTGCACACGCATACACATTATTGACAGAAATAACAGGCTTCTTTTTAATGATATAGAGCTTAAACGAGCAGTCGGGTCAACTAATAGTAATGCGGTAAACTACAATATTAAAAAGGCGGAGAAAAATAACCAAAAAAATCAAATTATAATAGACCGTTTTACTTACTGAGACTCTTGCTCTGGTCCACGACGCAGTCGAGGCAGGCGAAGTAGCCCAACTCGGTGATGGGCTGCGTGGGTGAGTTGAGGAGGGGTCGTGTGCTCTCGATGCTGCGGATAGCCGCTGAGCACTCCTTCTGACCCGGAGCCGCCTCCGTGCATACGTCCACCTGTTTTAAGGATATATTCATTATGACCCCTCAGAATCTCTTTGAGCCACAGCTCCGGGTAAGGCTCACAGAAAAAGGGTAGAGAAAATCTGTTTTGTTTTAGTCCTAGTGGTAAAATATACTTACAAGTCTGTTGATGCTCTCGGTGACAGCGCGAGCTGCAGCCGCCAGCTGATTCTTAGCGTTGGGGCGAGTCAAGTCCTGGTACAACAGATACATTTCAACTTTACATTCAAAGTAATAAATAAATAATATTGTACCACATTCACACAACGCCATCTAGTCCCAAACGAAGTCATTTGGAATATTGCAGCACGGTATGGAACCCAATGTACCAAGTTCACATAAATAAAATAGAACAAATCCAAAAGAGACTAGTCCGACATCTAGCTTACCGTTTTGGGGTTAGGAACTTAAGGACTTATGAGGATAAACTAACGCACTTCAACCTTATATCTCTTAGGGACCGTCGTACTATCTTTGATCTAGTATTCTTATACAAACTGTTCCATAACTACATTGACTGTCCAGACCTCCTCAGTAAGATCGGTATAGGTGTTCCAACTAGAATCCCACGCTACCCTCGCCCGCTATTCAAGGTCCCACAAGCCCGGACGAATTTAGGGAAGCAAGCACCAATTGCTAGGATGACTCGCGAATATGACACCATTTCAGTTGCTTCGGAGGACATAGACATCTTTTCTAATAGTCTGGGTAAATTTAAAAAAATGTTCGCACTCATATATTGAACACTGTGTGATTGTTGACGTACCTCCTTACCATTTAAATTTTGAATTTTGACTGCTGCTAATTTGCAATTTATAATCTAAAATTTTTTGCACAATTGATTATTATAATTCTTTGATTGTTTTTTTTTTCTTATTTACAAAGGCCATTTGTGGCCACTGTCTTTAATCTTTTTTTGTAATGTCCATGTTGTGGTCTCCTATAATTGAGGAAGCACAAGACTTAAAATTTTATTGGCTTTATAACTAGCATGTAAGGTGTATTTCTTGTTGGAGATTCAATAAAATAAAATAAAATAAAATAAGCAGAGTTTGTACTATGGGTACTAGACAACTGATATAAATACATATATACTTTTTTTTTTTGTAAATACATACTTATTATACATAGAAACACCCAGACCAAATCCAACATTAAATGTTCATGCACACAAATGTTTGACTTGAGCGGGAATTGAACCAGCGACCTTTGGAATAGCAGTCCGTTACACAAACCACTACGCCATTCGGTCGTCAAAAAAAATTGACTGTGTACAAATGTGTTTAATTTTATGTTTTCAGATGGCATGTTGCAATTGAAAGTTTCAGATATATAATAATTTTACACTATTAGCCTTAAAATTAAAACTAGAACTGCTAAATAAATAAAATTTATAGAAAAAAAAGTGTCTAGATTTCTGTGTTTTCATCATTTTCTACCAGATTTAGTAGCTGTGGTAATCTAAATATTTAAAATTTGTGTAGTATTGTGGTAATTGTTCTCCATTTAAATTAAGTGTGTCGACGAACCCGCATTACTTATCCACAGTTACGAGGGACTTACGAGATACTGGTTGTTTATAAGATGAATATCTCACCTGGCTGACCGACTTGGCAGTGCCGAGGAGCTTGGAGGAATTGACGGTTACGCTTTTCATTGAGCTCACCATCAGGGTCTGTGCATCGCGATCCTGGAAACAAGATATAGTTGTAATATGTGTTTGGGAGAGTAGTGTACAGTTTTATTTTTATGTTAGAGGGGGCAGATGAGCAGACGGGTCACCTCATGGAAAGTGACCATCGCCGCCCATGAACGTCTGGAACCCAGGAGTCACAAACGCGTCGCCGGCCTTTTAGGAAGGAGTATGCTTTTTTCTTGAAGGTTTGAAGGTCGTATTGCTCCGGAAATACCGTAGACGATAACCCGTTCCACAGTTTTGTAATAATGATAATATTCTTTGATATTAAGTAAGTAGTACATTTAGCGACCTCATAAGATATTAAGAGAGTTCGGTATGTTTTTTTATAACCTAACAAATTTTGATGAAATTTTATATATTATATTTATGTATTATATATTGAAAAGTAACACATGAAGATGTTTGATTACGAAATTAAACTGTATAAGGAAGATACTAGACAGACGTGCCAGTGGCGTTTTGTCATAATCGTCAGTTTATTGCGAAGGTTGAGAAGAGAGCGGTGTGGTGCGTACCTCAGTCTGTCCGGCCATCTCCATGGAGACGCCGAGCAGCGAGTTGAAGGCGTCCCCGAAGTGCTGGCTGCAGGCCGCCAGCGCCGGCGGCCGCTCCACGCCGCCCACCAGCTGCGCCGCGGCGCTGCTCAGCCCCACGGCCGCGCTGTTCAGCTCCGACTGCAGCTCCCTGCGCGACACACACCGTCCACCGTCACTCACACACTGATCACGCTAATCTTGTGGGTGTGTTTGTTACCTCCTCAAACTCAAACGACCAGTCCAATGTTGATAAAATTTGATACGGAGGTAGCTAACACCCTTTTTTTTTCCGTGCGGAAATCCCCTCGGATACCACCTGTCGGTGGCATGTCGGACTCGAACCGACTAAAACCGCACGCCGTCTCGGGTACTAATAGCCGGGGAACCAGGTATACCCTAGAAAGGAAGTCCCTGGTGAAGGTAGCTAACACCCTGAACTGACACATAGAATACTTTTAGCCTGTAAAAATATAGTATTCCCGTGGAATAAACAACAATAACAACCACGGGTAACACCTCAGGGCACAGCTAGTATTATTTAAATGTGTTTGTTAGTTACATATTCCCGTTTTGACTACCCAGTAAATCATCCTCATCAAATTATATACACACAGTACCCATCCAGTGCTCTGATTACTAAAATAATTAATTAACGCGAGCGAATCAGAAAACAAAAACTAGTATAATATGATCTGAACAAAATAAAGCAAGTAACTACCGCCGCCCATGGATACCTGCAACCCAAAAGTCACAAGTGTGTTGCCGCCCTTGGAGTCCCTCCCTCTCAAGTTAGCGGGAGGAGAATTTGAGAGAACCTCACTCACTCAGTGAAAGGCAACGAAAAAATTGCTTAACACCGGTTTTCTGTGAAGCCGTGGTATCACTCTAGTCTAGGCGGCCCGTTCATGCCGAAGCTCTCCCACAGCTATTCTGAAGTTCTCTTGTGATTAGACTCTGGCAAATCATTTTTTTCCTTTAGATCTGATGCCACATATCCTTGGGCACCGTCGACCATAAACACGTGGAGTTCAAGAGTGACAAGTTTTTATTATCAATGATCACTTACCCATAGCTCTTATCTGAAGGTGGGAATTCACCCATGTTGAGAATATTGAGGGTTTCGTTGATGTTCTCCATGGCGAGGTCCAGTTCCTTGTGTGATGGGACCGCTTCCAAGGTTTGTTCCAGACCCTGAGGACAATACCATTAATTATTAATATATTATACTAGAATTCAATTCAATTCAAATTCAATTTTAATTTACATTTTTTTTTCAATGTTATTATTATTTTATTATATTAGTTATTCGTGACATAAGCTATTTATAACTTGTTCATTGAATTCTTACTATTGAACTTATGTATTATGCGTATTTTATTATTAAAGCTCATTCGTGTTAAGAAAATAGTGACATAATAAACCCCGTCTCCTGACCACTAAGAAATTATTGTTTCGTACAAAAGCTTGGAATTTGATTGGTCAAGATATCACATTATTTTTAGAAGAGAGTTGACATCTGAATAAATGGAGAAGTTTACCTGTGAGATATCCTTAGCGATGGACATGATGGGAGTGGATTCTATAGATTCCGAAGTGGTGAGGTATATCTTGACGTGTTCCACGAGGGTCTGCGAGGAGCAGAGGACTTGGCGACCAGAGCCGATCAGTCTGCAACAAGGTGAGCGTGTAAAAAAACAATCAAGGTATTTTTAATAATTAGGTAATTAGAATCGGTCTGCGTGGAGTTAATACTCGTTACAATATATGTATTGGAATGTGTTCTATGAAGATCTAAGAATCTAGGTAAGAAAAAGAAATATATATTTTTTAAATAAATTTCGTATTGGCAGGAATATGTGCAGTTTGTAGTTGGTATGTGCATGTGTGCAGCGTACCTGGGCAGACAGGGCGGAGCGGCGCGGGCGGCGTGCGCGCGCAGGCCCGCGTTGAAGTCCCGCAGCGCCGCGGCCAGCTCGCCCCCTGCGCGCGCGCAGGCCCCCGCGTCGCGCAGGCGCGCGCCCGACGCCAGCGCCGACGTGGCCGACGCCGCCGAGCGGGACGCCGTCTTCATCGTCTGGAACGCCCACTCCTCCTGCGGGCCGGACCATCGCTCAGTACCTCTCACTCCTACCATCTTCGAACATTATTTGCTACAACATCTATAGCAAAGCAAGCAACGGACGGGTCACCCTTTAGCATTTACATTCAGTTGACGCGTCCGTTCGCTCTCCTTTCGTTCACCGGCATCTGAAAGAGTCTCGACGATACGAGGGTGCGTTTTTAAGTTCGCGGAATGAGAGGGTTGGAGGGGGGTGATTAAGCTCATTAGAATCGTCACGTGTTCAGTGACTCATAATTAGTATAAATACCAGGTTTCATTGTTATTAGACAATTAGTCTTTGAGTTATCGTCAACCAAGCGATATAATCGGGAGTGAAAAGTGAAACATGGAAAAAATCGATTTTCCTTACCGAGCAAGGAAAATCAGTTGCGACCATAATTAACGAGATGTCATTGGTTTACGGCGACTCTTGTCCAGGAAAAACCATGGTGTACAAATGGCACAGTTTATTTAAACAAGGAAGGGAATCCCTTGAAGACGACCCGAGACCGGGCAGGAGCATCGAGGTGATCACGCCAGAACTCATCCAAAAAGTCAAAAAATTGTACTCGACGATGCTCGACTAAAGAAGAAACAACTCGCAGAAATGGTTGGAGTATCTGATACAACCATTTTGGAATTCTGCACGATCATTTTGGCATGACAAAAATCAGTGCAAGATGGGTGCCGAGAATGCTCACGCCGACGCAAAAACAACAGCGCGTAGAGTTCACGTGCATTTTTAGACCTTTGTAATGAAGACAAGGATGCTGTATTGAGTAGAATTGTTACTGGAGACGAAACTTGGGTTCATCATTATGAACCTAAGTCGAAACAAGACTCCATGCAGTGGCTTAAAAAGGGCACAGCACCTCCCAAGAAGTTTAAGGTGTCACAGTCAGCTGGGAAACTCATGGCAACGGTCTTTTGGGACTCCGAAGGAATATTATTGATCGAATATAAAGATAAAGGTGTTTCTATAACCGGAGAATACTACGCTGCAATATTAGGGCGACTCAAAAAGAAGCCATTAAAGAGAAAAGACGGGGAAAATTGTGTTGCTTTTGCACGACAACGCGCCCGTCCACAAGAACCGCGTTGCGTTGGCTGCCCTGCATAAGGTGGCCTTCGATATTTTGAATCACCCACCCTACAGCCCAGACCTGGCCCCCAGCGATTATTACCTGTTTTCAAAAAAGAAAAAATAGCTGCGGGGTAAAAAATTTACCAACGATGATGAAGTCAAGAAGGCAGTTTCGGCGTATTTGAAGACAAAGAGAAAACATTTTTTTATGAGGGTATAAACAAATTAATTGAAAGATCTGAAAAATGTATCCGTCTTGCAGGTGAATATATTGAAAAGGAAAAATAATTTGTTTTTTTTTATTTACACCCCTTATCCCCCATTCCGCGAACATAAAAACGCTCCCTCGTAACATTTCGTGGACTACAAAACACGTATTACTTTACATGTTTGTAGTAATCTGTTGTAAAAGTATTTAAAAGAAATACATAGTATTAAAATATTTCACTAACCGTTTGTCCCGGCAACGGCCTGAAATCAAAAGCTCGTGCAGCTTCTTCCAACTCATCCAGTTCAGCTTGCAGAGATTTGATTATCTCCGCAGCGGCATCCAGTTCGAGGCCTTTGCAAGAGATACGGGCGCGACCTACCGCTGATCTGTTAAAAATATGGAACATTGAAATTATTAGAAAAACCACAAAATTTTATGCAAGACCTTTTGCGATATATTTTGGCTAAATACTAGATGTTATTTTTTATAATATATGCATAATTTTTATAGTATTTTAAAATGCTGACTAGTTTCATTTACGATGTTAATAGTCAATTTATTCTTCCCGATTATGATGTATCCACCTGTGAGAACTACATGAAAATCCGTTCAATAGTTTCAAAGATATGCACTAAGACACAAAAACAATAACAGTTAAAAAATATTTAAGCCAAGAATTAATAAATTAAAGATAAAAAAAAACCCGACAAATAAAAGTATAAAAAGATGTTATCCGCCATTTTGTGACGGCGGCCATCTTGGACCGATTCTCATCAAACATAGCTAAGAACACTTCCGACTAGTTCACCTTTCAAACAAAAAAAAAATCAAAATCAAAATCGGTTCATCCGTTCGGGAGCTACGATAACACAAACACACACACACGTCAAACTTATAACATTCTGTCGTTTTTACGTCGGGGGTTAAAAATCGCATTTGTGTTGCGTTTGTGTCTGTTACCACCTTTATTTTTCCTATATCTGTCAGACAGACACCGTACCACACAACACTATATTATGTTTTGATTTGAGGAATAGTTTCACTTCCAACTTTAACCGAAGTTATATCTACCTTAGCTCGGAACAGCTAGCAGTGAACATATGGGTTGTGTCGGCGAGGTGCTTGGCCGTGGGCCCGTCCACTACCGTGGGCAACGCGCCACGGGAGGCGGCTATCACATGCCCACTTGGCTGTAACAAACATACATACATGTATAAAATTATGCTTGCAAACGAATAGACAGATTTCCTGATGGTCAATGACAACCGCTATTCATAGACACTTAAATGTTTTATTTTTTTAAATATAAAGGCAACTCCCGCATTAGGAATATATCCTGTGTCGCGGCGGACTTTCCAAACATATATGAAACGGACACAAAGAACACCCAGACTCAGAACAACAATTTGTGGATCACACAAAGTGTCGTCCCATGTGGGGATCGAACCCACAACACGCAACGTAGTACTGAGCTGCGTTGGCGACCGCTTAAACCCAGTGCAGTCAAAACTAGATTCAAGTACATTCTTCTCTTGAAGGTTCGAAGGTGTTATCGGTCCAGAAATACTGAATGCGACTGCTTATTTCACAGGTAAGCATTGTGAGGCCGATTTTTTTTTCTAAATTTCCTTTTAATTACCACCTTTTTGTCAAAGTGAGTAAGGTATACCTGTAAGAAGGTCTCCGAGGCAGAGATAAGGTCCAGCTGCGCGGTGGCTTCTCCGGCCCTGATTGAGGCTACGTTCACGGCGTCTACCACTCGAGGGATCTGCTCGTTCAAGGATTTGCATTCTTCTAGAAGAGTTTCCTGTGTAGACAATAGTATATTAAGACATTGATCCAAACGGAGATTTTTCTGTAATTAAAAGGAAGTCACAGAAGTAAAAATATTTTATTTATACATTTGTAATCTTACAAGACTAATATAAAAAAATAATATATACAAATAAATAAAATTGGAGTGTCTGTTTGTAATATTAAAATAACCGCTTTTTACTAAATGCATATGTATGTTTATACGGTACATATATGCCAAAAAAAATTTTTGTACAATTTTTGACTGTCTGTCTGTTTGTTCCGGGTATCTCTGGAACGGCTGGACCGATTTCGACGGGACTTTCACTGGCAGATAGCTGATGATATATGGAGTAACTCAGGCTTCTTTTTTTAGACTAGCCTTGCCCCGCGGCGTTGCCCGCGGTTATAACAACAAACGCGGGTAACACCGCGGGTCTCAGCTAGTATATAATAAAAATAGTACATTGGCACGCTTAAATCTTTTGCTTCGTTAATTAGAGGTTATGCAGCGACAAGTTAGGTAAAAATTCTGCATTGATTTATTATTTACTTTGATTGTATACAAACTTAACACTGCTACTAGTACTACTCACTCACACACTCACACTCACATTAAACTAACATGAGTACAAACCCAATGAACCTAATTCCGGCTTCCTCTATCAAAATAAAGCCTATACTATTTGTACAAAACGAGTACAATACAAAACAATTTAATATTCGAAGCAAGTACTGGGCCCCAATCTCTTCACATTGCAATGGGTCAGGGAAAGAACTAGTAGACATAGAACAAATGATCATGCTTATAATCATCATCCGAGCGTTTATCAGTCCGGAGTCCGGGCCCTCATCACACAATATTTGTCCAGAGACCCTAGTGTGAATTTTTTTCACATCTATTTGCTCGTCACGGTGACCGCCTTCTGAGCAGCGATTGGTCAGCACTGAAATCTGCACCAATCGCAACACCGAACGCGCTCACTGTCGAGTTGATGTAAAATTACCATTGCACTAGGCCTTCTGTGTGGGTATCAAATCCAGTCAAACCGATTGAAACCCGTCCAAGAGTACCAAATATATTCTATATATTCTTATAATATATTCTACCACATACACACAACGCCATCTAGTCCCAAACTAAGTAGAGCTTGTACTATGGGTACTAGACAACTGATATAAATACATATATACTTTTTTTTTGTAAATACATACATAATATACATAGAAACACCCAGACCAAATCAAACATCAAATGTTCATGCACACAAATTTTTGACTTGAGCGGGAATCGAACCCGAGACCTTTGGAATAGCAGTCCGTTACACAAACCACTACGCCATCCAGTCGTCAGTGATATGTCCATAGTTGGCTGGTTCCTATAGTGAGTATGACTGACAGCAGGCAGAAGAACCAAGAAGTTTTGTGGCGTACCCTGACAGCTGCCAGAGACCCACGATACCCTTGATGACGCGACTATGAACAGAGTGAGTACAGACCTGTGTGTACTTGTTGGTGTTGTACTGCGTGGCGTTGTGCGCTGAGGCGATGAGCTGCGTGGCGCTCGAAGCCGCCTGACGAGCACTCTCCTACAGAACAAACATACATTCAGAACACATAAACATATAAATAATATTTTCTTTTCTTTCTTTTTAAAAAAGACAACTTCCGCATTAGAAATATATCCTGTGTCTCGGGGGAATTTACAAACATACATTAAACGGACACAAAGAACACCCAGACTCAGAACGACAATTTGTGGAGCACACAAAGTTTCGTCCCATGTGGGGATCGGACCCACAACTATTATTATGATATCTGTAATGGTTTTACTAGTCAGCTAAATAATAATAATAATATATCACACATCTCACACACGGCTGTCTGATTCCAAACTTGACCGAGCCTGTACTATGGTAACCAGATTGCTGATATACATACTTATATATTTCTAAATACATACATATTATAGATAAATTACACCCAGACACAGAACAAATGACCGTGCTCATCACACAATATTTGTCCTGGGTGGGAATCAAACCCACGACCTCCGGTTTAGCAGTCAGGGTCACTAACCACTAGACCAACAGGCCCGTCAAATCTATGTTTCAATGTGTGTAGAGATGTTAGGTCACATATGATTAATATTAGACTATAAATACTAACACAACTTACTAACAAGGAGTTATAAAGTAATATTTGAACACGCAACAGTAGTGTTACTACACTAGTATTTGAAAAAGTAATCATTCTTCTGGCAAAAAAAAAGCCTCTGTTAGCATAAACTATCATACTAAGATATTATTTTAAATCTGTAGATAATTTTAACCAATCATCATGGAATTTTACATACATATTGAACAGAAAAGACAAAGTACATTGAATCTTAAAAAGTTCTAAGGTATTTTTGTTCAATTTTAAATACTTCAGCACTAGAAATATATCCTAAACTAATAGTAGGTTCACAAATGCAGATATTCAACTACTACTGTCTCTCTGCAACTTTTGATCCATCCTAAGGTTGCCTGGAAGAAATTGCATGTAGCAATAAGGCCGCCCTTTGTACACTCGATATTTGATCGCTGTGTTCCTTTCTTGTAACTCTGTAATTTAGTGTGCAAATAATGAGTTATCTATCTATCTATCTAATCTATCTATATCCTGGACTTTACAAACATACATGAAACGAACACAAAGAACACCCAGACACAGTGTGATCAAACAAAGTGTCGTCCCATGTGGGGATCGAACCCAAAACACTCAGCGTAGTAGCGTAGTGACCGTTTTAACCACTACGCCATCCGCGCAGTCTAGGTAAAATAAAAGTAACGTGTGCGTATACCTGCAGGCGCGCGACCTGCGAGCCCACGATGTCCTGTCCCTGCGCGTAGTCCACGGTGATGTAGCGCAGCTCCTCGGCCGCGCGGCGCAGCGCCTCCTGCTTCTCGCGGTCCTGACACAACACACACAATTAAAAACTGCTCATAGATCAACTCCGACTCACATAAACATCATCATCACATCAACAGCCATTAATAGTCCACTGCTGGACATAGGCCTCTCCTTAGAAAGGAGGTGTTAGTCTACTATACTAAGCTGGCCAGACGGTTTGGTATAGGGTTTGTATCAAGTTTTCCTTCTTTTTGCAGTGCTGTTGTCCTGCGTTGTTTTGCTCCCTTAGTCGGCTCTTACGACACCCACGGGATGAATTGGGTGGTGACATTACGTATTCTTAATCCGTCACTACACGGATACACATAAACACCGACACTCTTTAACAGTTCATAAAGATTTTACTGAGTCTTATCATCATTAAAATATTAGTCAGTTTTTAGTATAAATCATTTCATGATATTGCACCAATATTGTACATATTTAAAACGATATTTAACTAATATTTTTTATTTTAATCTATCTATTTCACCATATTATAAAATAACCATTTTGCAGTTCATATTATACAATGATAATATATTCAATAATTTGGGCAGAGCATAATGAATATTAATATTTTTTTATTTTTTTGGGGTTAAAAAAGGGGAAGGATGGTTGGGGTGATGATTTTTTTTTTAAAAAAAAAAAAAAAAATTTCTTTTTTTCCCCCAAAACCACACCCCAAAAAACCAAAACAAAAATAAAAATCATTAAACTTTTTTTTTTTTAAAAAACATAAAAACAAACCCAAACCTCATCCAAAAATTTTGGGCTTCCGGGGAACCCACCCCGGGAAAGCACCTTAAAAAAAAACCCCCCCCCGGCCACACCAATGGGATTTTTTTCCCCCCAAAGAGAAGGAAAACTTGAAACAAACCCTATATCAACCTGTTTGGGCAGCGTGGTATAGTAGGCCAACACCTCCTTTCTAAGAAGAAGTCTATGTCCAGCAGTGGACTGTTATAGGCTGTTGATGATGGTAATTGATGAACTGGCTATTTAATAGAATTTGATGTTTTTATAAAACGATTAGTTTCATTTTGAGATATGCCTAACCATACAGATGAATATAGCTAGAAAGGGCCAAACCTGAGGCGAGGAAGCGCATTGCCGAGCCGCCTCCACCATCCTGGCGGTGGCATCGGCCAACAGCTTGGCGGCTGCTAACAATTTGCGTTGGGACTCCGAAGGTTGCTTCTCGGCCTCCGTCTAACATAACATTATATATAATTAATATAATTGCGGATTAAATAGATTTATTTTATTGCTCACTGAGTGGATTCACAATAACAGCATTAATAATTATTTTTTATAATAAATAAGTAGATGGTATAATACTATTGCATTGGGCTAAACCTGTAATAATATAGATAGTTCAACTCAGTTGTGCGCGCGGCCCTATGTGTGCGTGGGCTTGTAAATATACAACTTTCATTCGTGTGGCAGTCGTCGTCCGACTGCCGCGTCACTGCCACACGAATGAAAGTTGTATATTTACAAGCCCACGCATACATAGGGCCGCGCGCACAACTTAGTTGAACTATCTATAGTTGTTTTTAAAGGAAATAAATAAAATTATGTATTTGTTTTGCAAATTAATAATAACTTAGTATCTGTATGGTGAAACGTGTAACAAATAAATTAAACCGTAAATATTGAATAATAATTTGTGAGGGATTTTAATAAGTGTTTTCTACAAGGTTTCAAAAAAATTAAAGTAAAATTAAATAAAAAAAGCCGTATTTCTATCTATTAAGAAGTATTGTCAGGCTTTGTTCGGTTCTACACGTTTATATAAGTGTATTTTTATAAAAAAAATCTTATTTAAAAAAAACTCTACGCATGAGACAGATATACATGAAACAGACACAAATAACATCCCTCAGACTCGGGACAACCATTAGTGGATCACACAAAATATCCTTTATGGGGATCGAACCCACAACACTCAGCGCAACAAGAAGCGGCGAGGCGACCGCTTAAACCACTACGCCACCCGTGCAGTCAATTCGAAATGTAAGATAGGTGTGTAGCGGTACCTTGATGTTGGTGATGAGATGCGCGGTGGCCTGGCCCAGCAGGCGCGCGTGGCGCACCATGTCGGAGGCGTCGGCCGCGGCCACCACGCGCTCGCTGGCGCTCATCACCGTCTCCACCGAGCGCTCCGTCACCGTGGCCACGGCGCGACGCTCTGAACGACCAACATTTTTTTTTATTTTTTATATTTTTTACCACAATCACACAACGCCATCTAGTCCCAAACTAAGCAGAGCTTGTACTATGGCTACTAGACAACTGATATAAATACACATATACCTTTTTTTTGTAAATACATACTTATTATACGTAGAAACACCCAGACCAAATCAAACATTAAATGTTAATGCACACTAATATTTGACTTGAGCGGGAATCGAACCCGCAACCTTTTGAATAGCAGTCCGTTACACAAACCACTACGCCATTCGGTCGTCATACTGCGTGTATGCGTCATACTACATGCGTGTATTACTCACGTTGCACGGACATTGGCTAATCTTTCGCTATCTCCAATTAATATCTAAATGTTTTTATGGAAGTGAAAACTTCTTTAAGCGCATTGGGAACAAACAAGCGACACTGTTATCGTTACCGACACCCCTGTATATCTTATCTTATATATAAAATTCTCGTGTCACAATGTTCGTTCCCGTACTCCTCCGAAACGGCTTGACCGATTCTCATGAAATTTTGTGTGCACATCGGGTAGGTCTGAGAATCGCCCAACATCTATTTTTCATACCCCTAAATGGTAAGGGTAATCCCTAATTTTTTTTTGTTTTGCAATACAACGTTTGCCGGGTCAGCTAGTATCTACATATATTGGCCCCGTTTACACGAGAGTTCAGTTTGGGTTGAAATCAATGATAATAAACTTACATATATAAACAGATATTTACAATTTACAAAAACAGATACATTATACATGTGTATACGTACAACATATATATATATATACATGTCAGAACTTTTCGAATCAAATAAACATCATATTTTTAATTTTCAAGTCTTTACTTCTATCGGCATTCCCGGGGTGCTTCTGTTTATTTTTTAACAAATAACTAATATTACACATTATACACATGTATTCGTTTTGGATTGTATTATCATTCCGGTAAAGCCGCCCCATCAGTACCGAATCACTACTCTTCCACGAATATTTAAGGATTTCTCGTCTACAATGAAATAAACATAAGGATCCTTGACCTTGGCCTATTTGAACCACTGCAATATATACCCCTTCGTTCTGAAAATGATATTATACCCAAAGAGAGTGATAATTAGGCAAATGACCGACTATGGAAAAAACTATAAGTGAAGACTTATAAGTTAATATAATATTTTCACACATTTCACACACGGCCGTCTGGTAACAAACTAGGCAGAGCCTGTGCTATGGTAACCAGACTGTTGATAAACATACTTATATATTTCTAAATACATACATATTATAGATAAAGTACACCCAGACACAGAACAAATGATCGTGCTCATCACACAATTATTTGTCCTGGGTGGGAATCGAACCCACGACCTCTGGCGTAGCAGTCAGGGTCACTAACCACTAGACCAACAGGTCAGCCAAAGTTGTATGTATATTTATCGCATTACTTCTGCCTAACTTATCAATCATTTTCTTTTACTTCTCCTATTAATGTCTAGTGCACCTAGCCACACATTTCAGCACCACCCTAAGGTAGACTGGGAGATAATGCCTACGGCATTAAGTCCGCCAATGTACAACTATCACTTGTGCATAAAAAATAAATAAATAAAACCCCTTGCAATATAACACATTACGGTGAAACCAAAAGAGACTTAAGAAATGAAAAGGGAGATGATAACATGGTGTAATGTATTATATTAGGTATTTCTTACCAAGATCACAGTGTGCCAATAATCTCTCCAACTCTTCAGTGACTCTGTGTGCGGCCGCGGTGAGGTGTTCGACTCCCGGTGCAGCACTTTCCGGTACGTTGTTACAAGCTTCCACGAGACGTTCAACTGCCTGCGCCACTTGGCGAGCTGCTGACGCCAGTTGTTCGCGACAGGCCGGGTTGTGGAGAGTCGGGGCTACAACCTTTAGAAAATACATTATGTTTTTAATTTACTCTCTATATTATGTCCCATTTTTTGTACAAAAGATAACTCCCGTACTAGGAAAATATATCCTGTGTCGCACCCAGACTCAGAACAACAATTTGTAGATCACACAAACGTCCCACGTGGGGATCGAACTCATAACATTTAGTGCAGTAGTAGGCGGCGAGGTGATCGCTTAAACCACTACGTCATCCGTGTAGCCAAGTTCTCTTCTTAACACACCTCTGTCTACCATTTCGAGGATTTAAGATGTTTGTATGAGGAGAGGCCTATGTCCAGCAGTGGACTATCAAAGGCTGTTGCTGTCATGATGATGTGATTATATGTAATACATATATGTGACAATAATACATTAAAATACCAGGAACGGGAAAGACTGTTATGACATCAGCAAGCCAACGCAGGCAACCCCCTTCTGGGACCCTAGGGGATGTCTTATCAGTAATGGTTCTTACCTTAGCACAAGCCACCAGCTGGCTGGTAGCCAGAGCACAGTTGGTAGCAGCAGCGATGATAGCGTTCTGCAGAGGTTGTTCATCTCTGCACTGAGCTGCGACGTTCTTTGCTTTAAGGACGAGAGCTGCTGTCGTATTAGCGACTGCCTTCGCCAGGGAGAGGAGGATATCCTGGTAAAGATAATTAATGTTTTTTTTACTGCTTTCCTTTTGCTAATCACCCAAAGTTTTTAGACTATAATAATAACCTCAAACATCTCACACACGGCCGTATGATCCCAAGCTAAGCAGTGCCTGTACTATAGTAACCAGACTGCTGATAAACATACTTATATATTTCTAAATACATACATATTATAGATAAATTACACCCAGACACAGAACAAGTGATCATGCTCATCACACAACTGTTCTATTTGTCCTAGGTGAGTATTGAACCCACGATCTCTGGCTTAGTACCCAGCACTAGTGTACGACTATAATGTTTGTTTGTACGACTATATTATAACTTGGCATCTACGAGAGGATCTGACGATAGAGCCGGGGCGATCTATTTTGTAAATTAATATTTCCAGTAAAAAAAGTAACCTAAGCATTATTTCAGACTGTAATCTATTTCGGTGCCAAATTTCATCGGGACGTTTTGGCATTGTTTATGAGTTAAAAAAAATTAAATTAATGTCTGCATGAAAATATATTTAGACAGTGAATGGTGACGCATATCCTGGTGTAGTATTTAAAAAAAGACAACTTCAGTCCTAGGAATACATCCTGTGTCGAGGGTGACTTTACAAACATACAGGAAACGGACACAAAGAACACACAGACTCAGAACAACAATTTGTGGATCACACAAAGTGTTTTTCCATGTGGGGATCGAACCCACAACACACAGCGCAGTAGGATGCTGGGAGGAAACCGTTCACTATGCCATCTGCGCACACAGGATGAGGATGATTACGTCACTTCGTAAACACTAATATAATGAGATCAGCTATTTTTAACTTTACTTGTTGACTGTAAGACAACCCCGTGTCGTGTCGTCGTTTTTCGCGACAAATTTTTTTTTATTATACCGCCATCTGTTGACGGTGTTAAAATTTTTATGACGGACAGTTTATGCCCAGTAATCATTCTTACTAAGCACTAGACTTTAAGAAACCTAATCACAATCTGACAATTCTTTGATGAAAATTTCTATGCTTTTAATGAATTAAATTGAAATTTATCTCATACTGCAACCAGACTGCTTATAAACATACGTATTATTGAATATTTCAGGCAAATCATATCCAAAAAAAACAAATAATCGTGGTCATTTATTCTAGGTGGGAATCGAACCCACGACGTCTAGCTCAACATCAGGCTTGTCAATAGCTCAGCTTTTTAATGAGAACTGTTTTTGTTAGTTGTATATGTTTAGTAATTTGTTATAATCGTAGCGTATTGCCCATAAATATTTAAAAAAAACATTTTAAAATCCAGTCAATCAGTTTCCATAACAATTTAAAACACAACTAAAGAACACTATCACACCATTATCATAGGGGATTATATTAGTTAGTTATTTTGAAATACATTTACTTTGTAGACAGTTAGTTGCAAATAAAACAAATATCTTTCTTTAAGAAGCAAATGTATTGACAAAAATAACCTTCTGGCAGTGACAAAAGTCGGCCCACAACCGGTAACTGTAAGAATTATACCAGTACTGACTTATGTTAAGTAAAAACGAGATACCCTTTTTTATTAACAGCCTTTAATACTCATTTGCTTGAGATAAACCTCTCCTTAGAAAGGAGGTTTTGGTATACTATACCACGCTGGTCAGACGAGTTGGTATAGGGTTTGTGTCAAGGTTTCCTTCTCTTTGTAGTGCTGCAGCCACAGAGCCTTATAGTTGCCGCAAATGATGTGTTATATCCGTCATCTCACCTACCATCTGAGGGTCTTATGCAAGTTTATTTCACTACTACTCGATCGTGACGGTAATCACGTTTGGTGTTATGATTAGTTTTGGGGGTGGGGGTGTTGATGTGAAATAAACTCACACTTAGTCATCTGAGGGACAACTCTGGCAAAGCGCGCTCATTGGTCAAATCCAAGGGCGCACGATTCCCTGGTTTTATGTTACACATTTCCGTCCCTTTTCACGAATTCACTCTCGCAGATTGGAGGAAATTGAGAGGAAGGATGTTATTGATCGAGAGGAATAATATACGGACGTATTATCCATGTGGTGACGGATTAAGAATACTGAGTGACAGAGTGAGGCGATTAAGGGAGCAAACCACGCAGGACAACAGCACTGCAGAGAGAAGGAAAACTTGACGTGCACCGTATACCAACCCGTCTGGCCAGCGTGGTATAGTAGGCCAACACCTCCTTTCTAAGAATAGGCCTATGTCCAGCAGTGGACTACTAAAGGCTGTTAATGATGATGATGAATATACGGACGTATGTGTACGGATCAATTGGTGTACGCAACGCGATTTTCTGACAATACAATTGTGGTGGCTTTGAGAATTGAAAAGAATTGAGAGATTTGTACTTAAGTATTATAAGTATTGTACTTATTTGTAGTAGGTACGTTTTTATAAAAAAAGTAAGAGTTAACTGAGTTTGGATTTAGATGGCTATATGTACTAAGATATCAAGTTATTTTAATGTATTTAAAACTATTAAAGTTATTATATAAAAAGATTCTATCATTTAAAAAAAGTTATGACTGGGAAAAAAGCTAAATTTAATGTTTGACTTTCATTATAATTCTCTTTATTATTTTTTAGCGAATTTCAGATAAGATTCAGTCTGAAAAATTTACTTTAAAATCACAGATGTTTGGGTAAACCCTAAGTCTGTATCACGATTTTGTTCAAAACTTCTCAATTTATCTATTAAGTTTACGCATACGCATCAACAAGAGGGTAGTCAGAGATCTCTTACTAAGGAATTTTGTAACAAACAAATAACACGAGATTCTAATGTAGAGAGCCAAATATCCTAAGAAATATTTCCCTCAGTACTGGTATTATTCTTAAAGTCGTTAAATTAAAATTATAATATAAAAAAAAAACTATTAATAAAATATTCTATGTTAGGCGAGTGTCAAGCTTCAAGATAAATAAAAATACCTCTCAAATATTATGTTACTTAATTTGTTAATTTTAAATAACTACATACTAATTTAAGTAACATTTTTTGTATATACTTTTGGCATTCTCAAGGAATATAAATTAAATAACTTAGACGTATTCACAAACATTACTAACCAAGGTCAATTGTGTTTAGTTTCAAGTTTCAAAATTTGTAGTTTTTAGTAAGTTAAGTGGAGTTTAAGTACCATTAGCTTAATTATATCGGTTATTATTATTGTATTTAGTAAAAGAATAACTTAATTTATCATTTTTAACGTAAGTTGGCATTTAGAGACCTGGTAGTAATGTTTATGAATACGAATTAAATTTTAAACTTTTTAATTTACTCAAAACTCGCCTAATGTAAATCGAAATTATAAAAATATTATTAAAAAACCAAACAAAAATAAATGGCAAGTATTGGCAATAATATAGATTTGTACTTGATAACGGTATTGTGCACACGTATCTTTTAAAAAAAGGCTTTCATCATTTTAAAATATGTGATTATAACAAGAGGACAGGAGAATATTAACAGAAGATGACGCATGTTTTATAAAATCTACACAACACATCAGAATGAACCAGTTGTAGGTTTGTATTTGTGATGGTAAGGGTTTTCACAGTTTAATATTAGACTAGATAGGGTTGTCAACACACGAAAGACAGAGCTGGTGTCGTGTGTTTATTGATTTCGATAAATGCTCGCCATTAGTTCTACTGGTAAGTTATTTAAAAACAATATTAATGTCTTATTGGTACTTCTAAAACGGAGGAGATTTTCAATTCGTCTGAATAACTTTTTGTGTGTATGTTTTGCAATATTTTCGACATTTGAGAATCGATTTTGATAATTATACGATGAGTTTGGTCCCATTTAAATCTAAAGGACCATCTTTAAGAATAACAATTAAGTATTTAAGCGCATTTAAGTTTGTGATAGTCTTTTTAAAGTTAAATATAGTTATATATGAGTGTGTTATGTCATTATTTAATGTATAATAATTATATTAAAAACACAAGACGAACAAAAAGCCACGTATGCACAACATAATTTATATTTTTAATAAGGAATGGTATACACTGTTGACTAAACTATTTTTTTTTCTCGTAAGTTCTGTGATGGAAAAATTCCAATATTATTATCAATTGTATACAAGGTATTACAGAAAGGTGTGGAAACATTCTAGGGATACAAGAGAACTTACCGAACCCCGTGTTAATTCGTTAACAATTTTAAAGAAATTTATGATTTTTAAAGATTGCAAAACCTAACAAATTAATTTGAAAAATGGCTCAGTAAAGCTTATTTTTGTGATAAGAATGAAATTATTTGTAAATGATATTTAATACAAAGAACATTAATGAAATTTTTAGATTTTAATTGAGATTTTAAATTAAAATAAAAACTAAATCTGCATCTACACTACGCAAGAAAAAAAAATACTTTGTAGGGTAGTTGCATAAATCATTCAACTGTGTTTGAACTAAATCTACGACCACACCGTTCCGTAACACATTATATAAAATATTAAATATGTACCGCAACAGTATATACCACTCCACAAAATACAGAACAAAAAATATATGTACATATTTAGTACAGGAACAAAATATTAATGTATAAATAATAGCTGCCATCTTAACCTTAAAAAAAGGAGATTTCAGTACTAAGTACCGTTTTCGCAGTCGTTTCTAAGGACTAGATTAGTAATGCATTATTATAATAATTGTTAACAAAATAATAATAAATTATTAATATAAATGTAACCAAACATAACAATATGGGTTGTTGTAAATTCGTTTTGTGATGATACCGTGGGATTAGCCAACCCGTCTGGCCATGGTGGGTAAGTAGGCCAAAACCTCCTTTTGTCCAGCAGTGGACTAAGAAAGGTTGATGATGATAATAGATTGACCGTATTGAATGTTTCTTACATTGACCAGTATAACTTGAGGTGTCATTGTATAGACTATGGAGCCATTACAGGTCAACTTAAATGCTGGACAACTATAGTTTTATTTAACAGTTTT